CAATTCACAAAACGTTACAAGTGGGGACGTTCCGACAAAATGTTCCCCGATTCCGCTATGTCTCATAACGTAGCAAAAACAAGGTGTGTTTCTAGCTATAAATATTAAATTTGGCGTATTCTGTGAGTTCGTCGGCTACCACATGTGGTTTCTGCACTAACCGCGGTGTTAAAAATTCAGCGGGACGTTATCGCTGCGCCCGTCTTTGTCGTAGATCCGATCACACTTTCTTTTAATTTCAAGTATGTATATGCACTGAGTTTTATTTTCACTAACGATATCTTATCATTCTTTTACATTTTAATTGTATTATAAAAATATAAATGGATACAGGTTTTTTTTACACGAATTTAAATAATAACTATTGTAATCTCGTGTGAGGGATGACAGATGAGGAAGTAATCAGGTCAGTCGATCCATGATGTCGAAATCACAAGGCAATAATCACGATAATTCTCAAAGACACCGTATGGAGGTCGATCTAGCACATGCCTACTTTACTAGCAATGGGGCTCATTAGTTTCCTTTAGTAAAAATGGCTTTTGCCCTAATATTGTTAGAGGATGGTGCATGTAACTTCTGTTGTTAAATTGGCAATTATTCTGTTGATTATTTGTCAATCATACTGTTTATGTATTTTTGTCAACTAACATAATAGAAGCAATCATTTTGAAGTATTGTATGGGTTGAATACCTGCACTGTATCAAATTACAACAATTCTCCTTTATACAGAGGGTCCCATGACCGACATTTGGAGTTCAAAAGTTTGTTATTACGAATGGATTGTCTATGTCAGATACCTACGATATTAATTTTTCAAATTGTGTCTTACGAGGTACACAGAGAGCCTCATTTAATTAACTTTTATTCCTAACTGATCTCATCTTCGTACATACATGTCGGTTATGAAAAGTCTTGACTTCTCCCTCAGATAGCACGTAGTTTGTCTGTTTATGATAGGTCAATGTCGGATTTCCTAGTCGGTTCAGTTTTTCCTTCATTCCAATTTCACCTTGTTAACAAAGTTAATATTCTAATTCTATCCAATTGTATTTGCATGAGAGAAAAAGCAAATAGTTTTTTCTATTCTATTTTGACGATAGTTGATAGCCGAGTGGTCCCAGCATAGAATAGGCCACCCCTTCTTTTCCCGTGGGTGTTGTAAGAGGTGACTAAGGAAGGATGAGGGATGGACAGTAGCGTCCCTCTTAAAACATCACTAAAATCTAAGTACGGTTACCAATCCGCCTGCCAAGCGTGGCAACTACTGGCAAGACCGCCAAAAGGGGAGGTTTAAGGTTCAGCAGTAGACAGTTAAAGGCTAATATGATGATGTTGAACGATAGTTAAATTATTTATTGTAAACCAAAATATGTGCCAAACAGAAAATATTTCCTATCGAGCCTCTCACTTGGGGGTTTTGCCACTAGTTGCCACACTTGGCAGGTGGGTTCGCAACCGTAGTTAGCCTTTAATGATGTTTTAAGGGAGATGCTGCTGCTCATCTTTCGTCTATTATAATTGTCAGATACTTCATAATTGTTAAATAGAGTTGAGTATCGTTACGTATAAATGACTAGTTTTAATTCGCGGTTTAAATTATGTTGATTAACCGGGTTAAAGTAGCGCAGGTCTCTTTCAAATACTATGTCTATCAAATTTCATGACCACTTAAGTTTTATTAAAGTTAACCTGTTGTGGCATCAAGACATATCAAATGAGCAGATTAGCTCTCACGTTTACAGAAAATCGCGTTATGCGTTACTGTCAAAGATACCAAGTGAACGAAACAAATGAAAAAAAAATAAAATCCCAAAAATATCGACAGTAAAATGACTTAGTGACAGTATCTGCCATATTAAATAATATATTATGATACTTGTTTTTGCCCGCAACTTTTTACGCGTGGTTTTTGGAAGTAAGTAAACATTTTTAAATTGCGAATAAAACAGTACTTTTAAGTAAAACTACAAGTAAAATCGTATCCAATTTGATGTTGTAGTTTTTGTGTCATACCGAAACGAACATAATACAAGCAAATCGTAAAAAACAATAAAATATTATTTTGGCTTCTATCGCTTTCTTCCCACATTATTATTATTTTCGTTTTTTTTTTATATTATTCCCCTTCATATCAGTTTTAATTACATATCTCCTATGTACAAATATCATCTTATTACAATTTTATAATAATAACACGATAGAAATAGAAGGCACTAAAACACAGTATGGACACTCCGTGGCACCCGCTGCGATCTGACCTCACCCCCTCTCAAATACACATCAGCACCCTAATTCTATTTTCTCGCGCTAATCGTAACTACACACACACACACACACACACGCACACGCGCACGTTGTCACATGTACAGACGTTAATTAATTCTGTAATCGTGACAAGCATGAACTATCGCGATTTTGTATAAAGCATTCGGGCAAACAAACAGCCAGTAAACTAACAGTCTATACCAACTTACATTACTAACAATATACCCTATCAGGTCGTCTTCCACGCGGTTCCCTCTAGAAACCATCGTAGTTAAATATTGTTGAATTCGTTACAATGGGCCAACTAATCTGATTCTTCTTCACCTATCATTCCTCATTGGTACCTCGTCAGTGTAAATCTAAATAACGCAGACATAATCTCTATTTTATTTTGATACATTAAAAGACCAATAAAATATTATATATAATATTTTATGGTATATTTTATATTATATTCTCTGTGGATACTCTGTTTCATATAGATGTCATAAGAATGAGTATGAAAAATTCGAAATAATCTCATACATCAAACCGTGATGCCAATCTTCCTCAATATAAGAGCATTCAGCGTAAATAAGGCTTTATAGTTGGTGAAATTTAAGTGATACTTGTATGTCTGACACATGAAATTTGAATAGTTTGTTTTGCAGTTTCATAACCGCCTCAAGACTTTAAATTGTTTATAATGTATAAGAAATTTTGCACCATCGTTTACTTATAAACTTTCCATATCGTTTATTAAGTGATTGACGGAGGACTTTCTACTGTGTATTACATATCGAAAGTTACTCAAAAGCAAATGCTTCGCCTTGGAGTGTTCGACTGATGAATCGGTGTTTTACTTGACATTTAACCGTACTGTATTAGTACTGTAAGCTCTAAATTTCTATGATATTTTTGACCGATATTTTTTATTAGAACATTAATTAGAGTAAAATATTTCACTATTAGAACACTTTCTTAAAACAATACTAATAATTTCGTTTTCTTTTATTTATTATTTAAAAATATATACATAATTATAAAGTATCCTATTACATACTTCAATGGGGTTTTAACAATATTCTACATAGCTGTTCAACAATATATTATAAACGTTTTATCTAATTTTTCTAAAACGAAAACAAATAGAAAAGCTAAATATTTTCAATTTTTGATTAAACATTTTATATTATGTTATTAATCTCGTTACGGAAGGATATCAAAAAAGTAATTTGCTCAACTTTAAACTGAACATCTTAGTCCTGCGCTACAAAAAGAACGCCCGTCTTATGGATATATGCATAAAATATTTATTCTAGAAAAAGCTCGGCTTTACCACGATCCTGGTTTAGCAAGCCACCGCAGAAGCCGCATCGTCTCGCCCTCGCATGCGTCACGGCATACTGATTGATATTTATTGGAGGTTCGTAAATACGCCGTGTTATTAGGATGCGACATCTATTTAATAACATACCGATACTGTCGAAACAAAATCCGGGGTGTAACATGACATGCGTGAGATTACGCGTAGGGCTTTTTTTAAATGATAAAAATAGAATGCTAACTCCGTCTGCGTTATGTGTACACGTTGGTGACCTACGTAAGTGATAAAGTGAGAATAAAGTCAATTCAATTAGACCATCGAGACGAATTCTACAACAATTAACCACTAGCGTTGAAGTCGACCTGATAGGGGTATATTGCAAGCAATGAGACTGTTATTCATCACTACTAACTATCCTCCGAGTACGCCGTCTGTACCATATTTTTTTTTGTAATGTTGTCAATAAACAGTAAATATATAAATACTTGTTATTTTAAGTGAATAAGATCCATAACTTAGTAAGAAATCCTTATATAAATCCACTTCAACCCAAAGCGTTTTATTACACTATACTTTGTAGCATATTCAAGCAGTGGACATCAGTATAGCTTGTTACTATACCTACCTACATTTATATCTAAAAAAAGAGTTATTATCGTGATTGATCAATATTATAAAAAAAAAAATACTCAATACGTGTTTTTTGTTTTATTTTTATATAAATGAGGTAGCAAACAAACTAGTCAGCAAACAATACGGCTCACCGGCCCACCTGATGGTAAACGGTTGAGAGACATGTATGAGAAATCTTTAAAATTTGTAATGGACTATATATTAAATATAGGATTTAAATAATTTACGCGACTGAACTGAGCTTTGTTACTTTAAAATTTTTGTCAATTTCCTGTGACCTATATAATGGTAGAATGTAAAGCAAAATGTAAATGTTGTATTTTAACTATTGCATACTAGGCGAGCTCGTAACTTTGTCTGCATGACCGGAATAAAAAGTAGCATTATTATGTCTTTACCAAGGTGGTTGCTTCATCCACTAAGGTGTTGAAAACTAACAAATAAATTCTTTACTTAATAAATATAACATTTGAACAATGATAATATGCTTGTCTCTTGCCACGCTAAATTCTAATGACGGCAAAATGTGGTCATGTCAAAGTAATGCGTTCACCTCAATTTAGAAACGGCAAATAACTCTGATTACCGCATCAGGAATTGTAGTTGTGAGCATATTTATTTTTATATGTAATTAATTTCGAACCATTCATATTTCTGAAATTATTTAAAAGAGACAGGTTTACATCGAAAACTCATAGTCGCTAAATAGCAAACAAAGATTTTCCAACGGTTACCGCTAAGAACAAACTTTATATTTTGATGTGACGAAGTCTGTCTGATATTTTATTAAATACCTTGGCGGTTGTCCGGAGGGCGGGGCGTGGGGGAAGGGGTGTGAAAAATTCAGCGGTGCCCGCCGTATCGACAGTCGTACAACAAAACATGGTATAGTGCTTTATTTTCAAAATTTTTATACAAATACATTTGACATACTAACTACTTTTCACATTGGTAAACACACAAAATTTCTAAACATTGTACTTTCTGATTTTATTTTTCTGAAATATTCCGCAAATACTTTTTTGCAGACCTATAAAGAAACAAAATTAATTCAAATAACTACACGAAGCTATTCGTTTATTTCTATAAACATTGATAACTTCTTCGACAGCATTTTCTTCATCCCTGAAAATAAAAAAAATAAAAAATTCTCTAAATCTTTACTGTATATGTACCTACGTTAAAGCTTAAGTTGGGAATGGAAATATGAAGTGAAAACTGGAAACAATGAGAAATTTGTAGCTACAAATCACATAAGTCTGTTAGGAAACGGCTTAGCAACTTCATCTTTAATTACCTAAATTGTTTCGGCTCAGTATCGAATTCAAGTTTTACTAAGGATTTTGCTCGAAGTAATGTACTATCTAATGCAATATTAAGGTAGTCGATGTTTAATTTATTCATCAGAGAAAGCGGAGCTCTTACGTCGTTAAACGCAGTTAACAATGGCTGGCACGTAAGTGTCATGATAACTATTTAAGGACTGATTTGGTAATTTGAATTGGAAGCTGATATGGGAAAGTTTGGGAAAGTCGTTCGCCTGCAAACATCTTCAAATTATAATTGTCTCTTACTAACAATTCGAGATATTTCGCAACGAAGTTCTTTACAATCATTCCTATTTAATATAAACTACTCATTCTTACAAGTTTATACCTTTAAATTTACAAAGCTATTAAAATTAATATGTTAATATACAAAAATCCCGTGTACACATTCACGCTAATATATACATATATGTATAGTTTTTGTGACCTTATCAATTAGTGAGTGAAACAATAGTATATATACATGTGTAATTTATCACTTACCGTGTTTTGTTCAATGTTAACGGAGATGGCAGAAAGTGTCACGCGGTTGGCCGCGTGAAAGAGTACAGTTGAGACGTTGCAGTCTAGAAATAATTGAATTATTTACAAACGTTATGCTTTCAAGCAATAGTTGTCATTCTTTTATATTTTATTAATAAGTTTTTTAACTGCAACAAACACAGCAACTTTCACTGTATATATGTTGGTCTTATAACTGCCCAGTTGGATGATAACAACGACGTCATTCACTTTGCCATGTCCATTGAAATATCTTGCATACCTACCAAAACCAGTTCTTTCCGGTCCTGCCACTTTCCCCTGAGCTAGTGCGGATACGATTCGCGGTAATAACGGGACTCCAAAGCTTATACGATAACTGATGTCGTCTATATTGCAACAAGTATATATTGGTTTGTTACTTGGCAGTAAAAAGTTACATATGTTTTATACCTACTACTTGCCAAGTTCCATAAGACTTAGAGTATTTCTCTAAAAATGTTTGAAATAATTTTTTTTTTTTTAGATAGACGCATCACAGAACAAAATAATCCTTATTTAGGGGCATTTCATTGCATTGGCAGTCCATGAAGAATAATTATTTAAAAATGGACTTTTTTCTCCGTAAAACTTATTTATAAATAAATAAAAACTTTTTCATATATTTTATCATTATTTATTTTCAACGTTTTCGCTCGAAACCTATTAAATTATTCTACGACTGTCCATGCAATTTTAATCAAAATAGAATTCAGACCATGACAAAAATTATACATAAGTAGGTATGTGTATTTTATATTTAACTTTTAATTCATTATTCTTTTGACTATGCCCTTATTATTATTATATTATGAATGCGAAAGTTTTGAACGACGGATGAATGTTAGTTACTCTTTTACGCAAAAACTACTGAATAGATTTGAAATTTGGTACATGGGCAGGTTATATCCTAATTTAGCATAATACTTCATATACAGATCTATACAAGTTAAGCCGCGGTATACAGCTAATTTTAAATATAATTAGACTAGTTGTTCCAGTGACTTCGTCGATATGTACCTGACTAGGTAATATAATAATAAAACTTAAAAAAAAAATTATAAAATAATAAACAACGTAAATATTAAAAAAATGACAAATTATTATGATTATTTCATATTCATATTCAAATAGCAGGTACCACGTGATGCATACGATTCCATGGTATACGAGGATTTTTTTTTATCAACCTATATTTCCCCTGTCTATCGCCCATTTAATTCCCTGGATATTAAAGGCGACTATGCCCTTAGCCGCCTTTTATAACGTTATGTATGTGTTTATCCTCAAAGGGCTAGTAAAATTTAATCATATTAATACTACCATATTACTATTTATCATAATATCTATCGTTATTAGCACGTGCCATCAATGTAACCTTATTCAAAGATATTTCTGTTCACCTTCCGAGTACCTTGTATATTTCGTTGCTACAAACAGCCGCTCGTCTCGGTTTATATCTGAATAGGTCTTTTATGTTTAAGCGAACAGTCTTAACTAGAAACTGTCCACAAAAGATAAAGATACTCTACCTCTTTAAGTATGACATTATATCTCCAGACGTATATCTCTCGATGTATTCTAATATTGTATTGATACAAGATTTTACCGGCGACACCGCCTGACCGGGATATGTTTATTGACCGGACTAAATATTATCCTTCTCGGGCCCATATAGTACGTGTATAGTATACCAAATTTCATGACGATTGGTTGAGCTGTTAAGGCGCCAAGGGGTAATAAACAAACAAACTCACTTTCACATTTATAATATTAGTACGACTAAGTAGGGGGGAAAGGGATTGTTAGTAATGGAGACTGAGAATCCCATTGCTAGCAATATACCCAACCAGGTCGACCTCCTCGCGGTTCCCCCTGTAAACTATCATGGTTGATTCCTGATGAATTCTTTATGATGGGCTAACTGGCCTGTTTTCATTCTCATCTGTCGTCACCCTTCACTGGTGCTCCGCCAGCATATCCCGTTAGCGTAGGCGGAGTTACCATACCATTTTCACCCATCAAAAAAAAAGTACGACTAAATTTGTATACTTTATCTTGACCATAATATTGTTGTATAATAGATACTCGTAATGGCTACTTCTCATAATTGAATATATACAATACTGAGTGCTGACTATATCAAGTTTTAATTTTTTTTGCCCAAGTTGTAAAAAGAAGAGTAATATTTTTCATATGTACGCCCGGATGTGTTAGTTGGTCAAACAAATTTATGGATTTAAATAAATATCGTAGGCATATCATAAAAATTATAAATCGTTTATTTTAGATATCGCTACATTCGTCTTTATTGTTACAAAATTAAATTAACAAACGGTAAATTAATTAAATTAACGGTATCGAGCCCTTTGCGTTTGGCCAGTGATGTAATTTATTTTTTATAGTAATAGTAGACTGGAATATCTATTTGTCTTTCGGAAAGAGATCTGTGCTCTGTATTGGGTTGTTATTGTTACGATTATAGGTATCTATTTAATGGGTGGTAATGGTATGGTAACCCCGCCTGCGCTATCGATACACGCTGGTACCCCAGTGAAAGGTGATAGGTAAGGATGAAAGTAGGTGAATTGGCCCATCGTGATGAATTCATCAGGAATTAACTATGATTTTCAGGAGAGACCACGTCGAGGTCGACCTTATATAGTATATGCTGATAGAGTATATGAAATGCTAGTGATGTGATCGTTAAACCTCATTACTAACATTCCCTTTTCTCTGGCAAAATGGCAAAACTAAGTATAAAATTTCAAAAATTATTTGGGTTTTTGCCATTGTTTTTAAATATATTAATTGTTATTTTTACTAAGATTAGTAATTATAGAATTTTTCTTCCATTTGCGAATAAACAGTAAATTAATATAAGTATATGTATAATTCAAGAAAAGTTTATAAAAAAAAACTTAAATAAGTTAAATTTAAAGTTTAATTCTAATTAATGAAACAACCAAAAATTTTATATAAAATTCTAGGTTTCGAATTGTAAGTATTTTAAATGTAATCCTTAGTAGAAACACGACCACAAAACATCTTATTGCTGTTTTTACAAAGCTAAACGATTCAATAGTGCAATTAACCATTTGCAAAAATTCTACATACATATAAGAAAACGAACAAATTGTTGACTTTCACAATCCGAGATAAATTGCTAGGTACAAACTTGAGAAATAGCAGTCGTGAGAAGACACATTGTTCAATGGCTGTGAGACGAGCAAAGTATTATATTTATATTAGCTGTATCTCTAGACTTTGCCTATGTGAATCAGATTATAAAAAATTCTATGTATTAAGTTAGAATATAACCTACCCGTGTACCAAATTTCATTCAAATCTGTTCAGTAGTTTTTGCGTGAAATAGTAACAAACAGACATCCATCTATCGTTTCAAACTTTCGCATAGGATTATTATCTGTGACTATGGTATGGTAAAGCTTCATTCATATCTAAATGCTTGAAGAACTTTACCAACTTTAACATTTATAATGTTAGTGGAATTCTCAAAAGTTTCAAATTATTTAATGCGTTTTTACGTGTAGCTGGAACATTCATCTGTGTAATAACTGAATGGATTTAAATGAACTTCTAGATATACAAAAAGCCATATTGTAGATTAATACGTAAAATAGAATATATATAGTCACGCGTACGTGGGTTAACCGTGATTATAACAAACTATAGGATAATTAGCTTGCTCTATGGTATCTAAAGTTCATCGAAATCGGTCTGTTTATTTTTGTACGATGTCCGAAGAAAGTTAGAAACAGAATGAATGAATGGAAACTTTTTATTGTTCTCTTCAAAGAATGATACAGATTATAAAGATTAACAATGTTTGCGTACACAAACATAATGAATAATTAATTACATAAATTTAATTACATAAAAACAAGATAAAGAGGCAACAATGGGCGGCCTTATCTAGACTAACACGAAAAACAATTTAAAAAAATGCGATTGAGATTTCATTTTTTTATTTTTTTTTATTATTGTATGCATAAATGTTAGATGAAAAGGAAAGTTAAAGAATATTTACAGGTCTCACCTATAAGGACTGATGGTAATGGAGACTTTTCCTAATGTAATGTCATATTTGTTCTATTCTAAGTGTCTGTTATTTCTTTTTGGTGATAAATGCATTTTAATTTTTATTTTATTTAGCTGTGAATCTTGTGATCGTCCTTAAAACCTAATTGAATAAATTAAATTTAATATGGTATAATGTTATCACATAATATTCAAGCATAATATGGTTAAACTTAATGGTGATTTTATTTATAATCTTAATATCTAGAATGTTTGGAACTGGTTCTTTCTACTTTTTTTTTTTTGTAGCAGCTTGACACACATGGGATATTAGACACAGTTTTCACTTTTATATAGATATTACCAGTATAGATTACTTATATATAAACAGGTATTTTGGACAAGATAAACGACTACTAATCGATTTGAGATATAATCTAATTATATAATCGTACTAAATCAATCAAAATTGTTTAATTTTTTTAATGTAAATTACAGCTCTTATAGATAGTTAAGATTTTTATATTAAATATATATAATATCTTAATAATAATAATAATCTCGTGTCAGGATATTCATTTAAGTTAATCACCGAAACCACTCGACTAATTTTAAGAACATTTTTTATATATGTATTGTTTAATCCAAGTTCAGAGATAGGACAGTTTTAAGCTAATAAGAAAAAAGGGCCTGGTAGATGCCAATTGATGGTACAACAAATTTTACTGGATTAATTAAAAGATAATATATTAAATTTTACAACGATTGTTTGAGCCGTTAAACCGTCAAGATGTTACAAACACACTTTCATATTTACAATATAAGTAAGGATTTATATTATTAAATCAAATAATTTATTTTACATATTATATAGTATTACGTGTGGTTTAAATAAATCGCTTAATTATATTTCAAATGTCGTATTCGATTATGTAACATTAGGATACGTAATACAAGTACGCGTGAACTTTATGTCGAAGTGAAAGTGGGTGCTTCTCGATGCGACCTGTGTGTAGATACGGCAGACGAGTTAACGTTTCCTGCCTGGTAATTACGTGCTCACTATAATCTAGAGAATACGCGAGAGTGAGAATTTTTATTCATCTAAGTATTTAATTGGCCCCTTGTCTAAAATGACAAGTAAACAAAATTCAAACATCGATTAAATTGTACAGCCTTTGTTAAAATGTCAAATTAACTATTAATTATACGAACAGTATGATGTTTGGTAAAGGGATCGTCTAGTTCAGTGGTCCTTAACCTTTTAGTGACGAGGGACAAAATTTCTGTCTTGCCATGGACCACTATTGTTTGCACTTCCAAACAGTTCACACAACAGTATATTTTTTTATTGATTAATATTTATTGCATATATTCTCCAAGGTTTTGGAGGTTTATATATAGGAAATGTAAATAATTGTAAAAGTGGAAAATACATAGATTTTTCAAAAAATACAGCTAGCGCCATATGTCGTTGTGCCGATTCAGTGATATCTTCTTCGAATGGTTTTGTGGCCCACTTCGGGAGCTTCCAGGGACCATTAACAGTCTACGGACCACCGACTATATATATATAAATTTAAATTCAAAATATCTTTACTAGTTCGGAATGATTTCGAGATGAAAAGAACTGACAAGAAACTCAGCTCTTATTCTTTTATTATATATATTAGAAAATATTAGAAACTTTATTTTCCTGCCATTATGTAACTATCTATGTCACTCTTTGTCAGTAGATGTTTCTAAACTACGTCTTGGCTATAGTTAATGTTGTAATATTATAACGCCTTCGCAGAGTTTTCCTATGCGCCGCTATTATGTCTAATAATTCCAATAAAAATGATAAAAAAACACACTTCTTTCAGGTTTTCTTAATATTTATTTCACTCTAAGGAGTGTCGACCAGGGTAATATCAAGCCAATTAGATTAATTGTTCAAGATAGCCGATTGCTTGCATTATATAGGTATATGAATAGATAACCGGGCGGCCTTTGTCTTGATACTGTTACTGTGTATTTTAATTATAAAGTCTACTTGAACAATAAATTCGTATTCATAACTACAAACAGTCAGCTCTCAACTAGATGTATCTGTGTTGCTTAATTTACAAAGCATTTGCTTAAGCCAGTAAAGCAATACTAGCATAGAATAAATAATAGTACAAGTAATGGTAGTATTAATGTCAAACTTTTTAAACTATTGTTGGTACTTACGTACTTACATAGTTTGTAGTAGCCTTAATTTTGAATATTACTTATATCGCTATGGAGCCCCGCAGATTCTATAACTATTTGGAAAATACTTTAGAAATTTGATAAAGTTATACCTATTATATAATATTCATACTTTATTTTACATTTTACGTATCAAGTTTTAATTTTAGAATTATTTTTGTTTTTTTATTTTCTTCATCTTAGAATTCTTTAACAAAAATAGACTGCATTTCTTCTTATAATTGCAACAACAAACCTGTTTGCTGGCACTTGAAAAGGAAATGACGCGTGAATAAATTAAAAAAAAAAAGATCTCAAAGGATATTTTATGTCTATAAGAATTAAAATCACAGTCTAAGACGAGAGTTCTTTATAGTGTGCTAGTACCTTAGATTATGATTATAGCTAGTACCTTTATTTATCTTTGTCTACACTAATATTTCTTTTTTTTTTTTTTTTGTGAAGCTACTCACACATCTTTACCAATTATAATTCGATTTTTATAATTAATTTTATAGTTCATTCACGTATTTGTACTACATTCATTTTATTACGATTGAAATCACTATTTATGACGTAACAAAATTTAAAAATATTACTAGAAATTCGAAATGTGAGACAAAATAGACCTTGTTGTCTCTAAATTGAGCATAAACCGACTTTCTCGTTATTATCCTGCCTGCCAGTATATTACTTTTAAACGAACTTAGCCAAGATGAAATTAAAACAACGTTGCTTCGGAAAAAAATATAATATCTCTCTGTTTGTTGCGTTACAAGTCGGTTTCAAACTAAAATTATGGAGCTATAAACTGTACAATATGCAACATCCTTGATGTTTCACTTCACTTCACTCCATAATTTAAATCTATTATAATAAAATTAGATAAGTAGTTTAAATGAATATAGAATGAACAGTGATAATCCGGTTAGCAGTGTCAGTTAGTGTTCTTTAATATATTGAAAGAATTATTGCAAATGTAGATTATAATATTGCACAAAAGATGATGATTGGAACGCAATGCGAGCAGTAAATTAAGGATCTAATAAATACAAAGACAAGACGATGATTGATGTTTAACTTTGACTTCGTTAGTTTGTTTTCTAGTTTAAGTTTCACGATTTCTTTATGTATTTCAATATAATCGTGCATGACAAAATTATTATAGAACCAACACTTCAATAAATCACAACAATTGTAGTAAGTATTATGAAAATCTGTTGAGAACTGCCCAAGATATCGTGTAACTATGTTAAAAAGGATCTAAATATAACTAGTGAATTGAGGACCGCCTCCTTTCGAATCCACTTAATAATGAAATAAACTGTTTTAATTTCAATTTGTAAGCTCAGTTTACATAGAGCTAATAAATTTAGGAGATCGTAATGAAAAAGCCAGTTTATACAGTACTAATATTGTATATTAATATAGGCAAAAGTCTGTTTTCTCCTACATTTCGTATTTCCAGATGTCGGATAAGTCGAGGCCATGTTGAGGCATAAAAATGGGTAACGCAGCAGAAAATTTTGCATGAAATAATTAAAATTTATACTTTTAGATGCTTTTCTTTCGTCGGTACGTTCTCTAAAAATATTTAGATTGATATTAAGCACGACAGAAGAAGAAAAAGCAGATTTTTATAGGTTTCTATAAAGTAAAAAATATTCACACTGTTCGTGTTGGGGCTATATAATATTATTTTAAATATTTTTAATTTTTATAAATACACCTGAAGATGAAGTCTCAAAATTGGTCAAGTGTACGAATAGTAAAAGCGTTTTAATAAAAACAGCTGAACAATGTAATGTACAAGTATTTTAAATAATATTATATAGTCAATGAAATTATTCGATTTCTATATTAATGAAACTAAAGTAATAAATTTTTTAGTAAATTCCCTTTTAAGCGACTTTAGAAGGAAGTCAAGTCTTAAGTCGCTTATTTTCGAAAAGCAAAGCGATTCGCTCGAAAAAAAAATCTACTATAATTCGCTCAGAGCGAATTATATTTATTAGAATTTTTTTTTTACTCTACTCTCTGGTTTAGTCAATATAAAAGCTTTAGGCTCAATAGATATCTAATGTAATATTATATATGTATATATGTTATGCAGATATTATGAGTATTATATGTAAGTTATCTGTAGTATATTACTTTTCTACACTCCTCGCAAAAATTAAGGGAACATAAAAATTTTTGAAATTTTTGGGTAATTTTCAACAGGCTGTATTTCAGTGAAAAATAATCGTACAGGAAATTTAAAAAAAGGGTTTTGAAGCTTGAAAACTCTTGTTTTCAGATTTTTTGGTGAAAAAATTTTTTGAGCTCCGGTTTCCATGCAATTCTTAGACAAAGCTGAAAATAATTTTTTTCAAAATTTTCTAGGTTTCGTTTTTCACTCTATGGGCATGGAAAAATTTTTTCGAGCTACTCCATTATATAGGTCTCTTAGCGTGTTTATTCAGCTTCAAAAATCGCTTTGAATGGCTCAATTACGACCATTTGTCTCCGAGATATCGAACTTTGAATGCAAAAGCATCCTTTTCCATTCAACTGCTAATATCTCTGGAACTACTGGTCGCAAGCAAGTGGGCGCCGAGTTTCTTTATCTGCATAAAATTTCCAATTAAGCACAGTCAAGAGTTAGTGAAGAAAAAATTTTTTTCCACCTCTAACATTGAATTGAAAAAAGTGGAAAAAAGTGACTTTTTCTCCTTTTTTGGTTACTTGGCTGTATCTTCGCTAATATGGGCGGGAAAGCTAAGGTTTGAGGAAAATTTTACAGTCTATTGTTCCTTAAAGAACCCCCTAAATCCCTGGAGCGATCGGTTCAACGGTTTTTCCCGGACCAATTGATTGAAATTTTGGAAAAAATAAGGGAACAAGGTTTTTGTCCCTTAAACTCACCCTAATCCATTCAAAAATCAATAATTTCATTTGTTTTTCACTTTTTACTCAATTTTTTGTTTTTTAAAAATTCATTATCAAAAAAAAAATCAAAAAAAATCAAGAAAATTTTATGCAGATAAAGAAACTCGGCGCCCGCTTGCTGTGCGACCAGTAGTTCCAGAGATATTAGCAGTTGAATGGAAAAGGATGCTTTTGCATTCAAAGTTCGATATCTCGGAGACAAATGGTCGTAATTGAGCCATCCAAAGCGATTTTTGAAGCTGAATAAACGCGCTAAGAGACCTATACAATGGAGTAGCTCGAAAAAATTTTTCCATGCCCATAGAGTGAAAAACGAAACCTAGAAAATTTTGAAAAAAATTATTTTCAGCTTTGTTTAAGAATTGCATGGAAACCGGGGCTCAAAAATTTTTTTCACCAAAAAATCTGAAAACTAGAGTTTTCAAGCTTCAAAACCCTTTTTTTAAATTTCCTGTACGATTATTTTTCACTGAAATACAGCCTGTTGAAAATCACCCAAAAATTTCAAAAATTTTTATGTTCCCTTAATTTTTGCGAGGAGTGTATATTAATATTGTTTTTCTATTTATTTGCTCATTACGTTGCACCGTCAGTTATATTTTCTGTTATTTCTGTCTACGGTCGACTGGTAGGTAACACTATATGGTGTTAAGTCCGCCATTTACACTATCTAGGTGTATTGAAATTTTATATGTAAATAAATATCTAATCTAGATTAAAGAAGAATGTACACTGAAATATACTAAGTACTAGATAGTTTTAATTGAAGAAAAAAAAATATGCAAATAAAGCTTACTCAAAACTAATTACAAACTGCACTGACCAAAGTTAGATTCTTAGAAAAAAAGGAATATTGCTCGCTTAGTTTAAATTCTCTTTAATAAGGAATCATACGTAGTAATGAAGTACCAAGTATATTTAACTCTAGAAAGATAGTCAGGCGATACGTTTATATGCTGCAGTAAATTTCCTAGAGAATATCATAACCGGTAAATGGTTCCACCAAACTGTATGGGGAACAAAGGCCTATGTAATAGTGTTGTTTCCACGCCGATTTATCTGATGCCCCGGACGCAATATATGGACAGCGGCTGAGCCCGATCGTTAAATATAATTATTATACCTATATCTAGACGACATTGTTTCCGGATCTAAGTCTCAATGTGTTCATTTATTTTTAACAATAATTTGTGTATGTACTACGAATATTTATTGATTACACACATTAAACATCCTACATCGTAGTATCAAATATTAGGAATAATTTTTATGTGAATCCTACACTCTGATGTAACCGACGCTTATAAACATGAACGGCACCATAGATATTACAGAATACTCTGTATATGCCTATAGTACTTCTCATGAGTTGCCTTTCCAAAATGTGAAAGTTTATGTTTAAATACAGCTGAACGGTTTGAATGTAATTTACATAGATTTTGTGTTGCCTAATTCAGACGAGTAAATACACAGTACGTAGCTAATTATCTATACATATCAATCTATTTATAATATTTTAATTTAATATAGGTTTTGTATTATGATGTTTATATTAATTTGAATTAACATTAACCCTGTTTCTGCTATCAAAGAAGCTAAAGCACATATTAATTAAACAACACAAATTTTTATCATAACATTTTTTTTTTATTTGAATATTTATTTTAATTTGAAAAAATGCTTGTTGAAATCAGTGGCATGCAATACTGTCCTCGTTAACAGTCGTTTATCTAATTAGATTGTTTAGAGCGGCATTAAATCTCTGACAGTTTGAGCTGCCACTAACCACTTTCAACTAAACGCAATGATCCCACGTGATGAATTGATATTGAAACTCGAACATGATCTTTAGTTTGGCAGATTATGTCTTAACAATAGTACTTTATCTTCTACAATCATAACTCTAAATTATCCTTTCATTTAAAATTTATTATAGGTAATGACTAGTATAATATTTGTTAGTCAAAAATTGCTGATTATGCACCTAAATACAGCGGAATGGTTATAGAACGTGTTAGAACAAGCTTATCTCTAAAAGAGATCTCTTCCAGCCTATCTAATGCATTGAGATAGGAAATGATTAGCGGGTAATCTATAGGTTGTTTCAATAGAATTTAATAAGAATGTAAACAAATGAATAATTGACCCAACCAATAGACAGTCTGCTAATGCACAATATTTGTCATTTATTTATTTATATGCTTTTTTACATTCACTTTAAATATAGATATTAAATCATGTATATATTAAACAAATAAAAACAGATCAATTGATTAAATGTTTCGATTTGCTGCTAATCTTATTTACAAAGTTTTTCTGGGATAATTTCAGTAAAATTTGGTTATTTTTTAACATTAAATTCTATTGAAACAGCTTGCAGTTCTTATACGAAACATGTATATAAATTATTTATCATTTTGTCATTTAATTGTTTCAGTTATGATCGCGATCAGCCCTTCACCTTCCAGATTGGTGTTGGTCAAGTCATTAAAGGCTGGGACCAGGGTCTTCTGGACATGTGCGTAGGTAAGTGAATACAGCATTACTATGTCTTGTTTATCAATGTATCTAATTTATTTTATAGGGGAAATGGAATGGTAGCCTCGCCTGTGCTAACGGTATACACTGACGAAGTATCAGTGAGTGATGGTAGGTGAGCATGAAAGCAGGTCAGTTAGCACATCGTGAGGAATTCTAGAATTAACCATGATTGTTTTCAGGGAAGTCGCGTGAGGAGTGAACTAATAGGGTATATTGGTAGGAATGGGGTTTTTAAACCACGTTACTAACAGTCCCTTTCCCCTCAATGTATCTAGTTAGACGCGACAAAAAGATACTAAAAGTAACTACTTTTCTTGTTGACTTAGTAAGTATTTTAGTTGCGGGTAATCGTAACCGATACCAGAAGCGTTGCTATTATTTTCTTTTTTACACTTTATTGCATTAGTTATAAAAAAATAAAAAATAAATAATAAAAACTTATTCGTAGAATCTTTGTTTGTCTGTTTAGTCGGATATCACGCTGAAACAACACATCAAATTGGACACATTTATTCATTTTATTATTACAATCGATAGAAGTACGAACAAAGATGAAACAAGGTTTTTATCGATAACGTTAACGTACAAGATATGAAGTCATTTCAAATACCCATAACAACAACTTTTCATGTTACTGTATAATTTTGCAATAAAGATATTGCTATTCATTCATTAGGTAAAGTAATAAATGACAAAGTACCTCTGTAGGTCTATGCTCAATTCATAATAAAAAAAATTGGCATAGATTCTTTTAGAAAAAAAAATTAAATAATATTGTCTACCAGCTGATCGGATAGATTTTGTCCAATCTGAATTCCAATATTTCTTTTATTCCTGAAAATCTTAACAGGACTTTTACGGATATTTAAAAAAAATATCCAAATTTTATCGTCCGATTCAAATAATAACCACGTCACGTGTTATCTAATCCACGGTTGCATAACGGAGCCCACCACTGGCGGTCCACTTGATTGAAAGTGGTAATTATCGCTAGTTCTTTATTTTGTTTTATTACACTATTTACAAAATTACAATTAACAAAATTAATATATTCATGTCTGTAGACAAAAAAATACTATGTAATAATACTTACATTGACACCTAGAACTGTGATATTGCAAAAATTTATTCAATATCAAAATTATTTTATTTGTATTTCTTTGAAATATTGTGGGTAAAATAATGATAGCACGAAAAAAAAACATGAAAATTGTATCCATTTTAACGATGTATGAAACCTAAGTAGTTACTTATTTGATAGGTACCTAAGTATTAAAAGTAAACTGTCATATTTTTCATTGCGGTAGTCGGTAATAGAAAAAGTATCTTTTATAAAATTAAATTTTAATATTTATTAAGCCTTTGTGTTCTCAACTGCCTTATCTTCTTTGTGTATCGAAACTAAAAGAAAACTAGTCATATCCAAAGATGCACTTTCGTATAAGGTAGGACTCGCTATTATTTTACCTTAATAAGTTTAGTATCCTTTACTTGAGAGATATAACTTACTCGAAAATGGATGAATGATGAAATAATGTGTTTATTTACCTATTTCGAAGTAAAACTACAATAATACAATTTGATACATTAACATAATAACATTCTACATATACCTAGTCACAAAATGGAATTACGCATAACTATAATTCGTATACCAATTATTGTTAAACAAAATTCGAATTTGTGACTAGATAACTATGGCGTATTTTTGTTAACGAACGCTCAATTCCAATTACGGAAGGCTTAGCTCTTTCTAGATAAATATCTAAAATAATATATTGAATATTCCAGGTGAGAAACGCAAACTGACCATTCCATCTTCACTCGGCTACGGCGAGCGCGGGGCTGGAAACGTGATCCCACCCCACGCTACCCTCCATTTCGACGTCGAGTTGATCAACATCGGCGACTCACCCCCAACCACCAACGTGTTCAAAGAAATTGACGCTGACAAAGACAACATGCTGTCCAGGGAAGAAGTGAGTATCGAGTTAGCGTTCCAAGCGATGGATACTGATGGGGACAAAGAACTGTCCCGTGAGGAGGTCAGTCCCGGTGGTTTTGGTGTGGGAATATTAAACGCTATCGGGATTGGCTCGGGCTTGTAGTTCTAACTTCGGGTTGGATTTTCTAATACACTCGCGCACTCTTCACAATAGCTGCTCAGGGTAATATCAATCGAAATTAATAGCATCCTTTTAAAGAAAACTATCAGTGAAACTAAACATTTACCCTATAGAAATGTGGGTCGAAAAACCATAAAATATTATGTGTGTAATAATAACTTAACAACTGGACATGTTGTAGTATGGAAGGCTCAATATTTTTTAATATTTGTTAGCAAATCTTTCTTTGGAAATACTATTAATTTCTCTAGTAAAAAAATATGACGTATATGGGATATATAATAATGATACAGCGGAATTAAATTGTCGAATTTAATTTCGCTGTGTCACTATTATCACCTCTTTCATCGAAAACTACTTACATTCTAACAAAATAAATTCATTTAATTTCATTTCGATTTTTTATATCAGTGAAAATGTTATAAATGTGAAAGTGAGTTTATTTGTTTAGCGCCCTAACCAACCACAATGAAATTTAATATACATCTACTATATGGGATGGAGAAGGACATAGACTATTCGTTAGAAAAATTAGTTAGAAATAAAGTTGGCGGTTGTAAAGTGATAACTCTTATATGAACAGCGTCATGCATCTAACAAAATATTCCGCACCATCATACGTCACCATACCGTCTTGTAGCAGAAAATAACCACAGATTAAATAATTATTCTGTATAGTTGAACTTTTCATACTAGTCATGTGACCGTTTAGTATTAAAAAAATTAACAGTGTTTATTATAGGGAAAGATATTAGATACTTATTGATAATATTAAAAAAAAAACACTTATATTCTTTCACAAAAAAAGTTTTATAACAAATTCCTGACTAATTTCACCGTTTAGTGTTCTTTTTTTTTTTTTTTGTGGATAGTAGAAGAATTTTTTAATAATGTCAATAATTGATATTAGATCCTATTGCTAGATTTCAAATTGTTATACCCTGCCTATTGCACCTTGTAAATATTACTAACACACTGTAAGAAATATTTATTGCTTTTTAACTTGAACATTGAAACTATCTGCTCTTAGCTAATTAATTGCTTCTTATCTTTTGAATCTTATATTTCTTATCTTGTATTCATACTCGTACAAATACCTAACTGATTCGCATGTAGTAATTATTGGCATTTTAAGCAATAAATACCGCATGCAAAAATTTAAAATATTTCCCAGGATTATGTGGTCTCCGAAACGTGACTTACTCGTAAGCATCCTTTGAGATACTGAAACAAAACTGGAACAGGAAATTATAACACTTCCTGTATGAGTAAAGTCTTAGAAGTAATTTTAGGTACAGACATTGCTAAGAATATCACATATTTCATCAAATTTTTTGTATAAAACAAAATTGCTTCTAGAACATATTTATCTTAATAATTGAGAATATATCAAACATCTCTATTTAATTAACAATATTTAAAATAAAGAGTCGGCGACTGGCAATCGGAAATTTTCATTTTGTAGGTATACAACTATTATAAACGTAAAAGTTTATAAAATGTCCCTTGTGTTGAATTAGGATATTAGCTACCTGTGTGCCAAATTTCACTTAAATCCGTTCGGCCATTTAAGCATAATTAAACAAACATACAAACACTTTTACAACATTATTATGACTAGTGGAATCTACAAAAGTATATACTCAATATCTATGTATAAAATAAGTAGTTATATCACTTGTCTTTTTGGCATAATCAATTCACCATTTTTATTCAATATTCACATTGTCACGTCTGTGTAATAACATGGACCTATAATGGACTATCCAATTTTAAACCTCGCCAAATATTAAATCAAAATGTGGTACCTACACTTTGAATTCCTATCTCTGTTACGTCCTTAATATTCCTATAGTTAAATTCCTCTTTGAACTTGTGCGCTTGATGGAAATAAAGCAATGCTCATTATATAGATACAAATTATTTATAATTGTTGAAAATAAATTACAAATGTTAACAAGACTTGATGTTTTATCTAATAGCCTATGTAGACGAAAGGACATATCATAAAACCTATTTATATTACTAGATTTTAAAATAGTAACTCCGCGCGTTATTAATAACCCTGGCGGGGTATCAATGAGGGATGGTTGATGAGAGTGAGATCAGGCCAGTTTGTTATCGTAGTAAATTCGTAAGGAATTCCATATTAATTAATTAATTATGATGGTCGCCAGAGAACACAGTATAGAGTTCTCCTGATTGGACATTGCTAGTAATGAGACCGCTCTCTTGACCATCTCCCTCGTCCCTGTCCCAAATAAAGGGCTAGTATTAAAATATCAATTACATTTTCTAATCACACATTTTGTACACTGAAATATTTAAAATGTACTATGTAAAACTTTCTAAATTGAGAGTATTATTGGTTGAGGATTAAACAAGTAGTATGAAAGTGTAGAAATAGATATATTAACACTGCCATCTTATTAAACATATTCAATTTTGATTCGACAGGTCAGCGACTACCTGAAGAAACAGATGGTACCTCCCGATGGCGCTGAAATGAGCGATGACATCAAGCAGATGCTGGAGAGCCATGACAAACTAGTAGAAGAGATTTTCCAACACGAAGACAAAGACAAGAATGGCTTCATCAGCCACGAGGAGTTCTCAGGACCAAAACACGATGAACTTTAAGTTTCCAAAATTAGCAGCTAAATTCTACTCCCGCGAATCATGTTCTAGGAATTTACAATTCAAGGGAGAACTGCCTATAAGACTTTCGTGTGTGAGTGTTCATCAACACCTCTTTCTTTAACAATTCATATTTTTTTATAAACAGAGTTGCCATCTGTAAAATCAATATCATAAAGAAGACTTAGTTTCCACATTTATGTAGATTATTAATAGATTAAAACCTATATGTTTGATTCTATTTTTTTATTTTACTAATCGATTTACTTAGTTGGAACTGATTCTGAAATATTGAAACAATATACTCGAGCGAGTAAAAATCCAAGAAAACCTGGACGGATGGCAACCCTATTGTATTAGTAGTATATCTAAACCATAGAACCTCTGTCACAACGCAGTCTGCAGTTGTATGTGGGCTTCCGAACACATTCTCCATTGTGTGTGAGAGTCATTTTTAAACAAGTTTTGTTGAGTCTTTTGTACTTAGTTTACCTATGTTGTTGGCGTATCTATAAATTTGTTGTAATGTTAGGGTTACATATTGTAATAAAATTAGTCATATGTATACAAATCTAATTTCCAGCATAATGTTAATGTTATTCTACATTCGTTTTGTAAAAAAATGTACTTTCTGCGAAACATCAGTCTGTATTGCCATTTTATTGATGGTGCCATTCAAAAACAAGCCTTAAAATCTGTCAATTAAATTCTAAAATCTGTATTGTAGGTGTCTAGACATTTGTAATTTGGTCGAATGAATACTTCAATTATGGGTCCTATTATTGTAACTTCAATAAAGTAAATTTTAAGAGTTATTGAGGTTGACCTATTTGAAGTATCGTAACATCTGCTTAATAAAGTTATCATCAATAATTGTTATAGAAGAAAAACTTAATATAGTATTTCGTACCAGTAACTTCACAACTATTTACCTACATGAATTTATAACACAACACTGCTATAAAACTCCGTTCTATGTTCGTTCCGCTGATATTTAATAAACATATTTATAGAATAATGAAAGATTTTTTATTAAATTTTTTTCGTAAGCTCATTTCGTAACGTTCAGTTTGTGGAATGCGCTTCATGTCTTAGCTTTCCTCGGCAAAAAACAATGCTCTTTTAATATCCCGTATTAACTCGAATATTATTAATACTGATAAGTAACTACATAACAAACAAATCAAAGTTTGAAAGGTGCCAACACAAGTTAAAATACAGGGCAAAAATCACAGTTACTCTATACCTACGTACATACAACGTTAAAATCGATCATATATCGCTTTTTCTTTAAATACTTTCTTAATATGTCTCGCAGTATCTCTCATATCGACGTCCAAACGGACGACTCTCTCGTAGTAACGTAAAGTTCCTTCAAGTTTACGGAAATATGACATATTTTGATATCTGGCGTTACTAATGATTTTCAATTGCTCGTATTTGAGGCGTCTCATCCTATTAAACAAGTAACCTAACTTGTATCGTTTGTCATACCTAATACCCTCTTTCAGCTTCATAGCTTTGGCAATTAGATACCTTGTATGAATTATGAATTGCAAATTTATGTTAATAAGTATTTGTTTCTTCTCCGCCTCTATATTTTTAGGGTCTTCTCCGTCAGCGTCACCATAATCGATAGCAAAATTTCCCCTTCTTGTGTTGTTCAACATAGTAGCAATTGTCATGTATTCGTCCAATTCATTTGACACAATGTCACTTTCATTGGACGTCATCAACTGAGACAAGACCACTAATTCCAAGTGGTGTTTCAGCTCTGGACCCGTTTCTTTCTCAACCTCTTCGGGATTGCTGTCAAGCGGTAAAATATATTCGTTGCTGAAGTTCATATAATTCGGATATAGTATATCGTATAGATCTTTCTCAATTTGGAATGACGCAAAAGATATTATATTTGGAACATTCAAGAGGAAATATGCTCCTAAACTAAATATATACTTCCGCCCCATAATTACAATGAAACTGCAATTGTAAACAGCTGAAACAATAAGGCAAGTATAAATGAACAAAGAAGAATTCAGAAGCAGTATGAGAATAACATTAAAATCAAAATAATGTTTATTAAATTCAACTATATTTTAAGGAAATCAATAATCGCCTCATCATGCCGCCACCAACTTTGTAAGGCTTAACTTGCTTCAAGGGTACATTAAACAAGTAAATTAAATGGATCTAGATTTAGTAAGGATAAAGAACAGTGGTGGTATATATATATATATATATATATATATATATATATATATATATATATATATTGCTGTATGTTATGCCTCTCAAAAACTGCTTGACCGATTTAAATATTTCTTTATTGTTTTGTTCATTATAATACAGATTAAATCTACCCAAAGGTTGTTTGGAAGAGATTCCTTAGCAATAAGGCAGCCTCTTGTATCATATCTAGATAAAATTATATTATATTCTATTTATTTTTTATATAAATAAATAAATAAACCCAGTTCAGGTGAAAAATCGATAAATTTATAATAGTTAAGTTTGCATGGGAATTGCTACTTCTGATTACTTTTAATAGATAGCGTTATAGATGATACGATGTCCACAGGATCATCTAGTCACTAGATCCACTAGATTCTAGTGGATGATAATGATGTAAAAAAAATCTAATAGTATACATGAGGAGGTGAGTGGAGGTAGGAATGACGAGGATGAAGCAGGTTATGCAAACTGACCTGACTTCATCATATACCTAATGGCGAATTCATTAGGAAATAACAAATGACGATGGTTTCTACGCAGGACCGCCTGGCGCTTGACCTGGCAGTGTATATTGCTAGTAACGAGGACTGATCTCTCCATTATTAACAATCCTTTATCTCCTAGTAGAGCAGTAGGTAAGACCTAAATTTACTCACAACTGTAATCACCAGCAGTGATTACATTAATATTAATAGACGATGACTACGCGAATAAAATTACAGATTATAATTAGATTTCTTTACAATAGTTTATAATATAATGTAATTATTAAGTGTCTACCTCAGTTCTTAAACACCTATTAATAATCTTGGAATTCTGAATCTTTAGAGTGTTTACCTACTATATTAAAATCACTTCTTCAAAAGTAATAATTCACATTTAAAGTCTATTATGAATTTATAATTAAAACAAATTAATATTTGTATAAATACCTAATTATCTGATAAGGATAAACATATATAAGAATTTTATTGGCTATAAACGCTTATGAAAATGCAAAGAAATGTATGTAGGATAGATGGAGAAAATTTCTACAATTGAAGTATTAATATTGGATTCTGGCGAGTTTAGACACTGCTACAAGAGGCGCAGGCAAGCTGCATTTTTTTTATGGATGGAAAAGAAATGCGAACATTTGGTTTATGCTGGTGGGGTACCAGTTGGCACATTGGGACAAAATCACAAAGAATGAACTATGATGATTTCAGATCTGGCATAGAGGTTCAGTGAGATGACGCACATGTTGCTCTCCAGTAATACTGTATTACACTCAGCATACACAAATCGCCGTTTAATGATCTTGGTGGTACGTTGTAGAGGTCTATTATAATGTGGTAGCAGTTTAATACCGCCTCACATATCGATGGTTACGGGTTCGATCCCCAGATAATACAGAATTTATATTAATGAATATATCTATTCATATGTATACCTGTTTTTATAAAATAAAATTAAGTATGTATTTATTATCTAATACCCATAGCACTACCTCTTTTTAGTTTGGTACTAGAATTGATAGTTCTACATTGGAGATGTGCAACGTATTCATAAGAATCTATACTAAGGACAAGTTTATTATCTTACTTCTTACCAATGATAGTAAAATTGCTTTCAAAATGTATATCTGAGGATCCATATACACTTGAAATATGGATTCGGTATTAAAATTAATCTAAATGGGCGCCATTTTATTTAAAATGATAAAAGTATTTATTTGGTTAAGGGTTAACAACATAGCATTAAGAATTTAAACTTAAAATACAATATTATTTTTGCATTTAGTTAATTTAATTGCAATTAATCAACTCATATTTTTTTCCCCATACGTAAATATTTCTAAAAAAACGCATAACATTAAAATGTGTCCCACTTCAATTATTAATTTGTAACACTGTTACGTTTCAAATCTACAAAGGTTCTGAGATATTCATATTCAAAGAAATCGGTTAATTAAAAAAATAAAATGGTCGTCACTTTTAGTGACACTACTCATACATATGTATAATATATCTGAGAACAAAGAATTACATCTTTGTAATATATATGGAAATTGGACAAATAGCGGTTTCCCATATTTTACCTAAATCTTTAATTTTACTACTTTTTAAAGCAATATAAAATAATTATGGATTTCTATCTATCGCATTATTATTCTTTTCTATGCATTATTCTTAATAAATAAATAACATAGTTAAATATATAAATAAAGTTAAATATTATATAGGATCTAAATACAGGAAATAACACAGAAGGAATGATAAAATAAAAACTTCAAATCATATAGTCGCCTCCCTTCTTCTTAACAAATATAGTTAGTAAAAAGAGGACAGAAGATACACCATTAGTTATAATTTTTCTCAATTCATAGCAGGCTAGTATATAGAAAATGTTTGATATGTCATTTATTTTGTCAATGACAAATTTTACATTACTAGATTATATATTTGACACAGTTTACGTAGAAAGTATGCAAGAAGATTGTATCTAAATTTGGTAGGGTTATACGGCCGTATAACATTTTCTATACACTAGCGCAGGCTTTCATTCATAGCATAAATTCATAGCAGTATGAATTTACAATTTTATCACTCCTATGTAATTCCTTGTTTTTAGTATAGGATTATTTACCAGGTTGTCTGTAAGAGATTGCTTTTAGCGATAAGGCTGCCTTTTGTATATGCACATTCTGTATAAATACTCCTTGTATACATCTCTACTGTGCGCAATAAAGAGTTTATTATTATTATTATTCCAGTTCTAATATTTTAAGTTAGTACCTTCACATATATATCTTAATTTAAAGTAATCAAATTCAATAATAAATTTCTAATCTAGTAACCCTGTCACGTACATAATTGTATGAAAATTTTGACTCGCTATTCGAAGGATTTGTATGGAGATACTATTTGTATAATGCACAGACATATAATAATGAAGAAACAAAGCATAAGTTGAAAATATGAGTAAGATTATTCTCGCTCCTACAGTAAATGAATGTTACTATATTTTTCTATCACGTATAACAGTACTCTATTTGAAACTGTCACAAATCAATTCACTATATTTTGCCATATTGATAAGCTGTATATGCTGCATGCTCTAATTATGTTAAATACCGAAAATTTTATGATTTTATCACTAAAAGTATAAAGAAAAAGAACATGAAAATTGTGAAGTATAGTACCTACTTGTGTGATAAGGAAATTTATGGAAGTATACTAAATTTAACTTTTCACAGATAAATAAACATCTTTTTTTAATGTCAACTTATATATTATAGAAATATTGAGAAAAAATATTTGTTGCTGGAGTGTATATTTGCAAATAATCTTTAGATAATTCCATGGAACAGCATACTATTATATAGAGAATTTAAAGAAAGTCGTAAAATTATTGTTTTTCTAATTTACAGTAAGTATAGAGTATGATTTTGACATTTCATGCACACATTTTTGAAAGGAGGGCCGCATTTAGATTTACGAGGCTTAATTGTATTTGATGATGACAATTATAAAAAAAAATATTAATAATGTTCTAGTTAAGTTGAAGACGAACATAATAATTATTATGTAGTTTAGCAATGCTTATAGTTACAGTGGAGAATGTAAAGCAAAGTGTATATTGTAATAAAAATCTCGGTAAGTATATTCAATATAAACATATTCAAATTAATAAAAATTGACTGAAAATAAATATATGCAAAGAAAAATAATCGTAGCAAAATATATAAAATATTGAACTACAATCAATCACGTCACAAGAGAAATTTGTTAACAAAGATACAGTCATTCAAGATTCTCGTGAACTTGGAGGCAGATTACAACATCAAATAGGGTAGTAACAATCTTGTATATTAAAAAAGACTGTTATTAAAAAAAAAAAACAAAAGAAATAAAGTTGTCAACTTTCCTAATGTAATATCGGATCTACGAAAAAAAAATGGAAAGATATACAAATATTAAATAATATTCTTGCCAAGATTACTAAACTTTTTTTAAGGAATATGTCGTCAGAATAAGTTAATATATTTATTTATACTTAGAGATACAGAATGACCTGTTTTTATTTATTTTTAATTTTTTAGAAAAATAAAACAAACTTTAATATTATTTATTTATTAACAAGAAAAGTAGTTACTCATTACCATTAATTGGCCACAAAATTTAGACATTGACAAGTATAAATCCAGTTACTGTTCACAGCAAAATATCATTATTTATCAATATAATCTTTTTTTTTATTTTACTGAGGTGACAAACAAGCATACGGCACACCTGATAGTAAGCGGTTACCGTAGCCTATGAACGCCTACATTATTAGGGGTATTACGCGCTGCCGACCCTGAAGAGCTCTCTTTTCCCCTTTTTTTAAGAACTCCATGTTGTAGTCTTTTGCTCTTGGAAAAACCTCAACAGAGAGCTCATTTCACCGCTCATTCTGCGTACGTGGAAGAAAACATGTCATGTGACAACCGCACTGTAGGCGGCCATCTAAGCTTTGAGGTATGCGAGTAAACTCTAAAATGAACAGGTTGTAAAATCTAAAAAAGACTAAAAGGTTTTATCATCACAAAAGATAACCATAAAGAGATCATTACAATTGCAATGTAGGTAAGTAGTTCTTTCAGTTGTTGCTATAATTAAGAAAATCTAATTATCATCAAACGTTCACAGATTCGTCTCTTGATAACAAATATAACATAAAAGAGAGTCTGCATCATCTTTAGGGATGTGGAATTTATGCTTCGATGTAATGCAATTGAAATATTTTTTTATTGCATTAACTGCATTATACAATTCCTTGTTATATTATATATGTTATCCTCACTTTGGTACTTTTACTTCTCTTTTTTAAATCTTTTTAGTTGTCTATTTAAGAACTTTTTCTTTTTATAGTTTCTTTGCTACCCATAATCTCTTTCTTTCCTGTTTTGCAGATTCATCTTTTTTTAGGCCGCCTGACTTTTATTATTTCTATATAACTGCCCGGCATTAGTGTAAATGGAGTAAATATAATATACTCCTAACACAGTTCTTAAAATATATAAATAGTCTTTGTGTGTACCTGTGTTTCTATATCTCATAAAAATAGTACTAGTATCCGTCTATTGGAATCAGCAGCCATTATCGTCGACCGCCGAGCCAGCCTGCCGTCATACATCAGTTATATGCTGTACATTTCAATTCCAATATTATAAAATTTACTGCGAACCAGCCCATTACTCCTTAACCATTCAAGAGTTTATGAAGAGGAAACTTTGATTTGTGATCCCTCCTGCGCTATTGATACGTACTGGTGGAGCATCAGTGAGAGATTTATAAGTGAACACGAAAGCAGTCCAGTTCGATCATCGTGACATGAATACAAAACAGCTTAATAACTTGCTACATGATTAACGTTTTATTTTATTAGCAGAGCATTTTTTTATTTACGACGTTGAAATATTTCGTCAAACTAAAATTATGAACACTCTTAAAAAAACTATGCTTACTAATTTAATCATGAACCCTAAGTTTGCCCCTGTATTTATATTAGTGTATGTGTATGTAGACGTGTGAAGTTTGGCGTGCCTTTGCAGTCCCTCGTGCTCAGTCTGTTTCATTGTATGTTTGTGCCTAATTAGCAGTTTTTTTTATACCACTGAGGAGGCAAATAAGCATTTAGCTCACCTTATAGTATCTACTTATGGACAGTTACGGTATCCTATGAACGCTTACAATACCAAAAACATTATGCGCGTGTTTTTGATCCTGAAGTAACCTTTGTACAAATAAAATGTATGAAGATCAAAAATAATGGTAATTATTATTGGTAGAATTTATATTTGATACTTGATACTACAACTTTTAAGAATATTTATGTGATGACTGGGCTGTATGAGTCGTGCTCTTTGCCTATCCAATGTGAATGAATTTTAAAACAAACAAGAAACGATTAGGTATTTATTTATTTGTAATTTTCTCTTGTCCTTCAGTTATACACTGTTTGCTTCAGCACAGTGATGGCAATATTGACTGTAGTTTATTGAAGAATTTTGTTGGTTTGCATGTTTACTGAGAATTAATGATTAGACTTTTTCACTCTGGAAATGTACATATAGTATCTCAAAATAATAAAATGTTGTCAAACAAACGTTTGGTGGCTATATGTGCCATTGTATTTTCTTGCAATGTGGCATTATTGGTTCTGTTCGTGAAATACCATACAGGAAATAAGTGTTTTGTCACTATCAACGAGCATCAAAAGGTAATAGCTTATTTGCCAGATGACTTTCTTAGCGTTGGTATTGATACTTCAGAAATTCAAGACTATGATAGTTTAGACTTCAAGAAAACAAAATTACGAGATTTGGCCGCAGCACTGGCGCCAGCACGTCTACGCCTTGGTGGCACTATGTCTGAACGTCTTATATTTAGCCAACAGGACATTATAGCGACATGCCAGCATTGCCCAAATCACCACAGTTCTATTTGTGCAGCAGTAAAAAAATTATGTAGACACAAATTTTTGCCATTCTTCATTTTGACTGGAAATAAATGGGATGAAATAAATGAATTTTGTAAGGCTGTAAACTTAAAATTATTGTTTAGCTTAAATGCATTAATTCGTGATGAGCATGGATGGAATGATGTAAATGCTAAGGAACTCTTACAATATTCTAAATCTAAGAACTATGATATTGATTGGCAGCTGGGTAATGAACCAAACTCTTACCATCATGTTTTCAATATTACAGTCACTCCTCATGTATTGGCTCACGATTTTAAGAAGCTCCGTATGCTGTTAAATAATTTTGGATTTAATAAATCATTGCTTGTCGGCCCAGATACAACACAGCCTAGACCTGAGCAACCTCAATGTCTCAAATACATGGTTGAGTTTTTAGGTAACGGATCTCATAGTATTAATGTAACATCCTGGCATCATTATTATTTGAATAGTAGAACAGCTAAATTGGATGATTTTTGGAACCCAGACACATTTGATTTGTTGAAAGACCGTATTCAAACAATGAGACGAAATACTGAGGAATATGCCCAAATTCCTATGTGGCTCAGTGAGACCAGTAGTTCGTATGGGGGCGGAGCTCCAGGACTATCCAACTCATATGCTGCTAGTCCACTTTGGGTTGACAAATTAGGCCTTTCTGCACAAAATAACATCACAACAGTTATAAGACAGAGCTTTTTTGGAGGGAATTACAGTTTAATTGACAAAGATCTAGAACCTCTTCCTGATTGGTGGATAAGCATATTATTCAAAAAACTTGTAGGAAATAAGGTGTTACATGTAGACTGCCACTGTTCACGCTACCAAAGAATGTACGCTCACTGTGCAAATAGGAATTACACTAATGATACAACAGCAATTACTATTTACGCTGTGAATTTAGAGATGGCTAAACCAAGATTTCTCCTTAATGGCTCTGCTTTACATGGAGACAACTTATATATTGATGAATACATTCTGAGTGCACCTTCTAATAATAGAAGAACCAAGACGGTGTTACTGAATGGTTGGCCTCTATATTATGACTCTGCATTGCCAGAATTGGAACCTCGCAAAATTAGATATGGGAATCATATTTCTTTGCCGCCATACTCAATTGGTTTTTGGGTAATTCAAAATACATCCATTGATGTGTGCAAATAAATAGGATTTTATTAATTTTCATTGTAACATTAAAAGTTTTCTGCTTTTATATTTGTTAATGACTGATTATTTACTTTCTTGACTGCATTTTTCATAATTTTTACATTCCAGTACATTATTTTTTATTTTCCACAATGTGGATGATTATAGAATAAGCTCATTATTTTTATGTCAGTGCAATTTATTTAGAAAAACAGTGATAAGAAATTTTTATAAGATTTCATTGTAGATTGATCATTTCTTTGGAATGGAAATTCTAATTTCTATTGTATTTTTTATTTTACAAATTTATACAATACTTTATCACGACATGTACAGCTAGGTACATATATTGTGATGATATTTATTAACAATTTGACACCAAATTTTCCATTATTGATTAAGATAATTTTTTTAGGGCAGGCCATGCCCTAAAGATTTATACACATTGATTTGTTACTATACATATTTGATTTCTTTATTAAATTTCCACTTTAAGATTTGTGTTCTAAATGTGCTTATACACAATTTTTATATCTAGCTATTTGAAAATTTTATGCCATCCATTACATTATGATAACAGTGAAAGAATTTATTAAATAAATATAAAAATATATGTCCATTTAGTACCTTATTATAAGAATATATTTAAAATATGGCGATAAAAATAGAATTTTGTCTGTTTATGTATTAAGTGGTAAGACAATACATTGTTTGAACATACTAGCAACAAGTATTGTATTACTATAAAAATGGGTATCAGTATGTTTTATGGACTTACCTACATAGTTGGATCTGACAATATAATTATAGATCGACTCCAATTTGCTAATAATAATCTTTTGTAATAAGTTAGTGTATCTCTTTTTATATGGAGAAATCTCTAATATTAAATATAAGAACAAAAACAATTTTACATTTTCCTTTATATATATATATACTGAGTTGCACTTGTTTTACAATATTATCAAAGTGTTGTATCAATGACTATGCTCTGAATAAAAAAATCTGTTTTTAAGACTCCTATTAAATAAATAAAAAGTACTATTATTATTGTTATGTATATTGAATCTTATAATTCTTACAAATAAATGGTACTAAGTTAATATTTTTTTATGATTTCTTAATAGTGGTAAAGCAGTAAGTTCTATGCTGAATAATAGCCATATTTGTATGGCATTATTCTGTACAGTTACATGTTTAATTCTACACATTTTTGGCAGTCCTTCAAAATTTTTGTTAGTATAAGGGCACTGTTGTAGGTACAGTTTTGTTTCAGTATGTACACAACAAATGCCATAATTTGAATCTCTTAATCTTTGATAATATTGTCTTCTATCATTTCAATAGTATTGTTATCAATTAATTAATAATAATTCATTGCTATAATGTTGTGAAGTGAAATAAATTTAAAGTAAATATAATATTGTCATCCTGAAGTGTGACCCTATAATATTATCATGTCTCATTACACTGGAGTAACCTTGCTTGGTGTCTATCAAGGAGAAGTCTACACTCGACACTGAACTATTGACATTGTTTGATATCAAGAGTATTAACTGCATATGTATGTTTTAATACATAGCGATCTTTTCATACACTAAACTAAGTTGCCTACAAATTAGTTATAAAAATCTCCTATTACAATAGTTATGATTAAGTTTTTTTTTTATTGACACATATGTGCAAAGTGCCTGTTAAGTGTACTAATATCTATTTAAATATGGTTATTTTTTAATACAACTATATTAGTTGTATATACATATTTTTTATCTTTTTCCAGTAGTATAAAATGTCAGTCTTGTTTATAGAAATATGTCTATTGTATACTTTAAGAGCTCTTTAGCTGAAACTTGCCATTATTATTCATAAACACTCTTGTATCCACTTTTGTTACCTAAAAGAGGTATATTATAGGCTGGTAAGTTGCAATCTTAACTTAATATGTGTATCACTAAAATCATTACTAAGAATAATTTACTGTATAATTAGTCTGTGTTTTGATTCTCTTCAGGATAAGAGGTCATTTTGAATAGTAGGTACATTATCTGCATACTGTTATATTTAATGCTTTTGTTTAATTCTAATAATAAATTGCTGTTAGTTAACGCATTTATATTACAAGTATTTTTTATATTATTATTATATGTATATATAAATATATTTTATTAATATCTAAACTTGACATCGATAAATATAAATTTACTACCTATATTAAAAAAATCTATACCTGAACAGGTTTCATGTACTTACTCTTCATAAGAACATTTTAGCAATTTTAATATATATATGTATGTATATAATATATGTATGTATGTATGTATATATGAATGTATTAAATAAATAAAACTCGATTTTAATTGTAGAGAGTTTAGTCAGTGTTAGAGTGAGTGGAGTTATAATGGCTAAAATTTTTATAAAAGAGTCAGGCACCTTTGCACACTAATATTGTATAGATTTAGAGTAGGTGTGTTACTTAAATTTCTAATGTTGAGTCTTATGATTATTTAAAATAATGGTGCGTTGGTCAGAATTAGATATAATGATATATGCATTCTAAATTATAATATAGATTTTCTATGTACGCCATTTATTTTCATACTAATAGCATATATTATAATATTACAATAATTTATCTGAGTAATTTTGAAGATAGAGATAGGCATATAACTGATATAGCTTTTTATATATACCTATTTTCATTGTTTTGAGTTTTCATTTAGTAAAAAAACATTAAAATATTAAGTTGATGACCTAGTACCCATATTTATAATTTACATATTTGATGCTGATTTATCAATCTTTGATAAACTTAGTGTATCGATCTGTATACTGTAATCTCATTGTGGTTCATATTATATATATACTTTTATTTATGTTTTAAAGGTTTCTATTTTATTTAGTTTATTATTAATCATTCTACAGGTGTAATCTGTTTTTTTTTGTGTACTTAGTTTTCGTTTAACTGTCTTATTTATTAAGGTTTTTTTGTTAATTGTCATATTATTATAATATTTCAATATCTCAATGGATAAAAAAGATATAAGGAGATTGTTTCAAATACCCAGCATAATAAATAATTTAAAAGGACAAAAAGCCATTTACAACTATGTACCTTCTGATTGTTTGTAATCATAATTATGTAACTTAATAACTTATCTGCATATTTTATATAGATAAATATTTGGAACTATCTACCTAAGTATAGCACCAAAAGTTGAACCTTACGAATACGTACTTAATTGAGTTTCTGGTGTCATAATTTTAATAGAAGTGATACTAAGCATTTTGGCAGCTTAAATTTAATGCATTTATTTAAACTACTTTAGCGCATATTTACATATAAATTTCGTGGAATAATTATAATACCTTTATATGTTAAGTAAGTAATCGGCTTCCCTAGATAAATGACATACGAATCTATTGATAGATTTGCTAGCGAGTTCGAGATAATATGAGACGGCTTCTTTTTCATATGAGCGTCAAAAAATAGATTCGTTTCTCACTTATCTAATGGAGCTAGTTGTTACTTATTGTTGTGGTAATTTTTTTTTTTTTGATAACCACTACATAAGGGTTATCGTAGTAAATACAAATTTACAGCATATTTCAAAATTTTTATAATTATGGAAGTGAAGGCCTTATTGTTTTGTAATAATGTCAGAATTCTAAAGATAATGTTGCAATGACGTCATTAATCCTTTCAGAGTTGGCTACTTTAGCTAAGCTTATGTAATGATCCAATATGCTAAGATTATGAAGTCATATACTTTTAATGTTTTGTCAAAATGTTACCAACATTCTCTCTGTGCCACATACCTACCAAAATCGTAAAATTATTCTAAATTTAGGTATTTACCAATTATTAGATGTATGTACATGGTTATATATGTTTGATGTGTATTCTAAGGCTGCATGCACATGTAAAATGTTTTAATAGAAACTTAACCTACATACGTACCCTGACTTATAAGTGAAAACATAAGTTGCAAATACTTGTATAAAAACACGTACTCAACGTGTAAGAATAAACTTGTTCATTGCCTAATTATTACAGATCAGTAAATTAAATAGAATTAAATATAATAACACATATTGTCAAAAATATTTAATACTTAATGTTGTTGTGAATTTGCGGTGCCTATGGTAAGACTGATTAGAAATTACAATATTTATTTTCCAAATGTGCCTATAAATAATCAAACTATAAATATTTTCTTTTTTACCGTCACTATAGGCGTATAATATAATTTTGATACTTATTTCTAAAGAGTTATTTTTCTATGTTTATAGTTTCAGCTTAATTGTTTATGTATACTTACGTTACACCATCGAAGTAATATAAAATGTATTTGCATTATTTTTAATAATGTAAGGAAGTATAGAGGCTTTTGTAATTGTAATATGTACTGAGACTTATTTTATATTAAATTAAAATTAATAATCTCTTGTTGTTTGTTTAAAAAAATACCAATTTCGACTGTCATGACAGGTTTAATTACCAAACATGCCAAATAAAAAAATAAAACGGAATGTTAGGTGCTTTCTATAATTAAGCACCTATCTATATACTTCTATAACTTGAGTAACTTACTACTGCCTATAAATGTTGGTCCTGTAAAATAGGTGCATACTAATTCTTTATAATGCAAGTACATTAAAAACAGAGTGGTTTGATTAAATTAGATCTATTTAAAATTAAAAGAAAAATATTTATTACTACGAGTAAGTGACAAATAAAATGTGCCGCTTTTAATAGTTAAGTACGCAACGTCGTGAGGCTAGATTAGGTATTAAGTTTACAGACTATTTTTCTATACTTGACATTACATTAGTGCAGTCTTTTTATCGAAATAACAGTGCAAAAATAAACTAATAGCTAAAATGTTTTTGTATTAATTAAATATTGCAATTATTAGAACTGAATTTAGTCACGTATTAAAATCGTAAGCGTTTTGTTAGTATGAACGTAAGAAATTATCAGTCTTGTATGTTTTATTTTAAAAAGATGCTTTGTTCACGACCTTGTATGCATGAATTTTGAAAGGTGATAAAACACACCAGATTTAAAGTTCGATCATCAAGAACATAACTTAAAAACAGCGGGTCTACCATGAAATGAAATTTCGAAATTTCGAACTCAATTTCGTGTTTTTGTTTATACCAAAATCGGATCAATAAATGGAATTTAACATTTCGTTTGTCATACATCCTATCATAAAAGTCCAAAGGAACAATATTTTAACATTTTTAATATTTCCAAATGTATTATGTAATTTTAACATCAAATTTCTGTTTCGTTTCGCTCCGAAATTTCGGAAAACACTTCATGGTAGGCCCTCAGCATCCAGTTTAGTCCAGTAGTTTCTGCGTGATGCTGTAACAAACGTACAGAAAATTCCTAAATATTTTTTTTCCATTGTATTTGATATGATCTCTTATTTTTATGTTTTTCTTAAATATCTTCTATGTATGTACAACATATACTGTTCGAGAGTCATATAAACTCGATGGAAAGAGAAGAATTCTAATAAAGTTGAAAATAAATAAATATTGGTCTTATTTAATCTATATTAGCTGAACCCAAATAAAAAATTTTCGAATATCTATGTAAATTTTGATGCCCATTAATTCATCTCTTTCCGTGAGTAGGAAATTATAAAATAGTGATAGATAAAATCTGATTTGAAAAATCAGTTGAGGGTACAATAGGGCAGATATACCTGAAGAAGGTAAAAGCCGTTAAGAATTAAAAAAATCTCTTACACTTGCCTTGTATTATTACAATTTCACTATATGTATTAAAGTGACTAAATTCGATAAAAAGACATTAAATTATATTTATACCAAGTATAGAAAAACAAATATTATATATTGTTGCCGTTTTTATATAAATGTGACAACGCGACAAAAATATCGATTGTTGTATTAATATTATCTTTGCTACTTATTTATATTTAAAATATATTAATGTTATATCTTGCCACATAAGTATAGATGTGAGAATAATATATACGTAGTTAAGTAAGTGTATCTCTAAGATAATTATGTTGTGAATGACATCTTCCGGAATAATGGAACATGTTCATACTACTATAGGTACTTAAGTACCTAGATATATATATATAGCACAACATATTGTCTGTATTTCTTTGTCAAAATATCCATATACATGGTTAAAAATAAAAACTTATTAAGTGTACCGATAACTTTTATTTTTTTATAGAATAAATACCATAGAATAAGTATAATACATATTCTACCCATTTTTAATTTTTATTATATACTAGCAGAGGGATTTACCAGAGGGAGACTGTACAAAAGTCATTTGCTTGGGCACCTGTTCCAATTGTGTTTCAACCGTGAAGCAGTTGTGTTTGCATGGCTGTTTCGGTGTGCAGTGAATTTATAGGCTAAAGAGGAAAAACACCTGAGTCCTCAGGAATGGCAACGCATGGAGAGTATTATGGACGAAACAGCATACTCTGTTATGTCCATGGTACTGCTCAAGTCTATAGGCAACGGTGACCACTTTTCATAAGGGGGGGGCCGTCAAAAAAAAGCAACCCACCCCGACTTCGCTCGGGTAAACATTCTTTAGATAGATGTAACTTTTTTATTTATAAACTTATTGAAATAAACGCTCAATGTTAAGTGGGGCCAACCGCAACTTATTAAAATGAAAACTGCATTAAATTCGGTTAAACCGTTTCTAATATAACGTGCAGAAACGTACAGACAAATTCTAAAAATATTTATATACATGCAAATAGGCTGGCGGGGCATCAGTCAGGGATAATAGGTGAAGATAAAAAGAAAACTCAGCCCATCGTGATTAATTGGTACACCTGGAATTCAACACTATGGTTTCCAGGAGGTACTACGTGAAGGTCAACCTGCTGAGGTACATTGCTAGCAAAGGGACTGGTAGTTCGCATTACGAGCGATCCCTTTCACCCCCCTGTTTATGAGTCTTATAACAGTATTACAGTTTTTAATTGATGATAATGGAATGGTAACCCCACCTGCGCTGAGAAGTTCTCTTTTGTGACAAATTCAATAAGAATTAATCACGACGGCTTCGCGAGGCCGGTGGAGGTCAACCTGACTAGATACATATAATGCTAGTGGGGATTAACAACCCCATTACTCACAGTTCCTCTCTTGCCTAGTATCACAGTAATTATAGACAATCATACAAAAAATAATTTGTAAAGATAAATCGCTATAAATAGTTGAGCAGATTTGAATAAAATCCTTGTCCACACTAACATTGTAAAGAAGAAAGATCTATTTGTTTGTAATGAATAAACATAAGAACTACTTAACCGATTTTAAAAATTCTATCATCTATAGATAGTTTTATCAGCGAGTAACATAAGCTAAATATTACCTGTTTAAGTACTCATTATTGCCCACAAAAAAGTGTAATATATGGTATATAGCCTCGTACTTTTTTCCCCATATCAGCCGTTAATTGTCCATTGCTGAATGCCTTTCTCTATTGGGGGAGGTTTGCCAGTAGTTGCCACGCTTGGCAGGCGGGGTGGTAATGGCAATTAGGCGTTGGAAAGGTTTTAAGAGGGACGCTGCTGCCCATCCCTTCAACCATATATACATATATATTTAAGAGATACAGGTTTTATAACCTAGTTCAGACACAGATGTTTAAACTGATCCTAATGTACAAATGAAATCTACTTTTACTGTAATTTCCAGTGCTGAGTTTGTTACAATCATGGTTATGCAATAAAATTATTATTATTATTATAGTTAAGCCACAAAAACCATTTTTTGTTTAAAACAATCTGAATATAAATTGAAAGTTGATGATATTTGCATCGCGTTTCTTATTCTTTACCAAGTAAATATTTTCATAATAAAGATATTTATTATAAGTTGATTATGAAATCATTTGCTTGATACGTGCACATAAATTATTTTGTTAATTTCTTCGAATCGGTTCTTTCGTTTTAAAGTTACAATGTGTACAAAAATATGTAGCTAACTACCTACTAAGAAAGACGTGACACTGCAATTTGATCGGTGATGCGATAAGATTTCCTTGTACGTGTTCAATGAGTAATTTAACGCGACATAATAATATATAAAACTTATGAGAAATACCTAATATTATAAGTTTAAGAATGTTATGACATAGTAACGCCTTTTGTATCGAATATTTCTTGTAATAAATATATTGTCATATTTTTAAAATACACTCACGTTACAAGTAAGATTTTATGATACATGTACCACCATAATGAATAATATGAATCTATTATTGCCATGCTTTTCACGCTGTTTGATATAAGATTTTATATTGAGTTTTCCTACTCTTACACTATTATATTTATTGTACAAGGAAAGAAACCCGAGTCGCGTTTTATGAAATCCTAGCAATGGAAGAGGGGCGCTGACGTATTAAATTCTTTTTTATTGCGTAATCACATGGTAACATAATACTTGAAAAATATTTTTGAGACTTCCTTCGTTGTACCTACCGCTGAATATAGTAAAAAGAAAAATACCTACATAATTTCTGAAGAGATCTGGCTAGATATATCGAAAATCTATTAAATCTATTCTTTTTATGCAACTTAGAATGGCAAACAAGCTGACGGTCCATTTGATGGAAAGTGATAACCGTCGCCTACAGACATGAGCAGTACCATGGATATAGCAGAGTATACTATTTCGCCCATGATATGGCCATGGGGGGTGTCCCCATGCGTTGTCATTCCTCAGGACTAAGATATTATTCCTCTGTACCCTGTAATTTCACTGCCATATCCCACCCTTCAAATCGAAACAGCCATGTAACAAACATTGCTTCACGGTTGAAACACGAATGGGACAAAGGTACCCAAGCAAACTACTTTTGTACAAAGTTTTTCTCTGGTAATTGCTTAAAATCAATCGAAATTATATACATCGCATTGCCTTTTCCAATTCATTCGGGGTCGCCACAATAAATTTTCTTCCTCCAGAAATTCCTGTTTTTAGAATTAAAAATAATAACACTGGAGCTTCAATGCACGACCGATTAATTCGCGCTAGATATCGTCCAGTTATAAGTTTATTATATTAGTAAAATACTTGTTTTCTCGTATACTATTTTATACACGGGTTTGATACTTCTTTTTCAGACAAGTATTCTAAATAATGTATGCCGGCATAAAATAGTCTATCCTTTCCTTTCCCGTAGATGTCGTAAGAGGCAGCTAAGGGACTCATTGGTCGAGGGATGGGCAACAGCGTCCTTCTTAAAACACCACAAAAGGCCTAGCTGCAGTTGCCAATCCACCCGCCAAGCGTGACAACTATTAGCAAAACCCCACTTATGGGGAAACCCATATTCAACAGTGGATAATTAACAGCTGATACGGTGATGATGATTCTAAGTAATGTATAGACACTTTTAATATCTATAAATCTAACATTCTTACAAGAAATCCGATAGGTATCAACTATAGAGGGAGTTGAGAATATGTTGTGTATGTGTTCAATCTGGTTTAAATATTGATAATAATAGAATATTGATTCATATCCTTGACAAAATATTAGTTTTGTAATTTCCTGAACATTTGACAGACTTGAATTTAGCTTATTAGCTTACTTTGATTTTATAGGCCTCAATTGTTATAAATAAAACCATAAAATACTTTAACAACAATTTATTTCAATAACAATTTTTAATTACATAATAATTTAAATAAATATACTCAGTAGGTACATAATACTATAAGAATAAATATTACTTATTCCTAGAAATCATTGGTATAATACTGTGTAATAATCATTCGAGTATATTTTAATTAAATAAATGTTAAATACGTTATAGTATTTATATCTACATTTAGGTACACGACGAACAAAGATCACATCACATCTCATTTAGGAAACCACAAATTTGATTTCATGCAGGTACATACCATTCTTATCTATTACATGTTACAATGTTTTCTAAACTAATATTTAAAGAGGAAAGATTTTTTTTATTTTATTTTTAATTCAAACTCAAAAAAATCTGTTTCAAAGAACTCAATTGATTTTAAAATTTCTTTCACTTAAGCTATATTATTAACGAGTAAAAGAGGCTGTATTTAGTTTTAAAAAAGACTGCGAATTCGAAGCAGGCTAGTATAGTATTTAAGAAATTTAATTACATTATAAACATGATAATCTCATGGAGTACAAATTAAAGCAAGAAAATAAAAATATTTAATACGTTAAAATAATTGCGTTCAGTGTGAGTTTACACTATAAAAAATATCGTTACAATACAAACTTATCGGTCGTAAAGTAAAGCTTTTTAAATCTCACACCAAGCACCCTGAAATAGATTTTTAATAAATCTAAGAATAACAAGTCTTAGATTATACACTTATTACATGCAGGATCATATTTAGATATGTCTTTACTTGACAATCATGTAAACATCACACACACATACAAATATGTTTCATTTATTAAATATTACAAGAATGTAAACTATAATAACTGTGTTGAAATCGATTAATAAGGTGAAGTTATAAGCAGTGTTATTAGAGAAGTATTATGGTGGTAATAATTATTAGGTACGAGGCAAAGGACCAACCACTTCGTAAAATGCCAGCGCGCGGTCGGAGTGGTTCGGAAAAAATTAATTTAACCAATGTTACATAATCAACATATTTTTTTTCATCCAATTTTCTCGAATAAAATCCTAGCATGGCAATATTGTTGATTCCAATATCTCAACTTATATATAATACGAACAGCTTATCTGTTAGAAAGTGATACCCTATATGTAGGAACAAAAGGAATAAAAAATGAAAAGTATCATACCTAGTGTATACACAGATAAGAAAAATTAGCTATGGCAGTAAAATTGAGTGTGATTACTGTTACAAAGGGAGGGAAATATATTTTTTGAAGCGGCAACATTACTATATCGAGTACTGTTTGCGAGTTAATCCTCAAAATGTACAAGCGTAGTATTTTCTATGTATATCGTGTCGGTTTTCTTAATCTCCGCTGGGGGTAGACAGAAGGGGGTGGATGTGACCAGAAACCATTTTCGGTGCAAACTATTGATGATTCGCCGACAATTTCGTAGCCGTCTTCGCAGGAATATATCATTAGATCGCCCACTGGATATTTACTGCGTTTCGTCATCGCCTCTGTCAATAATTTACCCTTTTCAGGAACCAGCGGGTCTGGGCAGTAGATAGCTGAAAATATAAATTTAATTGTTATTTTTTATACAGTTTGAAATGGCAAAAATAATCTGGTACTCCAGCAAAACCAGGTATCTGCGGGGAAACTACCCAGAACACAGGCCCGAGCCAATATAGAAAATTTCATTTCCTTAATCAGCTGACTGGGAATCAAAGGGATACCCATTTACGCAAAGCAATGTACCTGAAGCACGATGATAGCCAATATACATTGCAAGTTAAGATTACTTTTTAATAGAATAAAAACAAAATTTTGGATGTTTACGTGTACAATGCGGTGTCTCCCCGGACCACCTCCCATCTAGTTCGCATTCAAGACCCGGCGTGCCAACCAACCGGTAGCCCCAGGCACACTGGAACACAGCCCGACCTCCGTACGAGGAATTGTACTCGACCACGCTTAAATGCGGCCCGAGCGTGTTCAGCATCGGGCAGAAAGTCTCCACGCACGTCGGTGGAAGAGACGACCAGCGGCCTAGTATTGTGATAATAAAATAAACAATTCATATTTAGCACTATGATCACTAACAACATTGTGGAATATGGATTTTACTTATAATAAATATACAATAAAACTTATATGTAAATATGGTGCGCTGTTATATTTATTAACTCTGCCAATTTAAGTTGTTAAGTAAAAAACATACCATCGCCCATGCAGGTGAGAATAGAGGAGCCGTTAAGATGGAACCCTGGCTGGCAGCTAAAATGTATTGAATGACCCAGTCGCGTGCCCTGGGCGAATTGACGTACCCGTGCCGAAGATACATTAATTTGGGGACACACTATATCTGAAATAAAATTAACGTAATATAAAGAAACATATAATAAATATGATAAGTAGTGTCCAATTAATACTAAGCGATAGAGTTAAAATCGGTTTACAACAGTTTCCGGACAAGAAAGGAATTTTTATTTTTTAAAACTTCTCAATTTATAAAAAGTTATAGTTTGTATAGCTCAACTGACAAGAGCGCTGGCCCCGGCATGGCGTAGAATAAGTGAGTTCAAAAACTGTCCACTTTAAAATTTTTCAATCATTTAACAATTATTATTGAAATATAATTTTCATATTTTATTAATACATTTTTATGGCTCATTGTTTCTATTTGAGCTGATGGGGTAAGAATAAAATGTACCACTACTTATAGCCAGGATGTCATAAGAAGTAACTAAGGGCATAAAACAATAAATCAATGCAAAACTATAAGAGGAGATATCCTTTTTTTCTGTGTCCATTAATGAGTTATTATAATAAATGGAGCATGGTCTAGAAACTTAGAATACCACTTTTTTTTAATAGGCAATTAAGTATATACAGCCTGTCTCATAGTAAACGATCACTGTAGCCTATAGACGCCTGATACATTAGAGGTATCACGTGTGCGTTGCCGATCCTGAAGAAATCTTAATACTCTATTTTTTTAAAACTCTATACTGTAGTTTCTAAGGAAAATTTGGACAGGGACCTCACTCTACAGCGTGAGTGTACATTTAGGTTTAAGCACGTGTTCAGTTGTTTTATAATTTTGAAATTATAAAAAAAATTTAAATCTTAAAACTGGTTCCTTGGATTACAGTTCGTATATCGCTCATATTATATTAATAGCATAGTAAATACTAGGGCAGTACTTAAAACTCACTAACAACTTTAATGAGAACAGTGTTTGTGTGACCGCCTGGCGATGTGCAAGTGTACTGATCGCTGTGCCTCGCCGACATCTTGGATAGTGTCAGCCGGTAATGCGTCTCTTTCTCTCCTTCGTCTGGAGACCACACTAGACAAAGACAGAAACAGGAATTATATGTGCAGATAAAAAAATATTCTTACATAATTCCACAGAATTATAAGGAGTCCTCCTTTTTTAAATATTTCTTGTTTTATGAGAATACAATTAAACAAATATTATCAATTACTATTATCGTTTGTATCATTCTTTGAGTTTTTATTCATTCATTCAATTCCAAAAAGTGTAAAGTATAATACTGAGACTAAAGGGAATGTGAAAAATTCTAATTTAGAAAAAAAAATTTTTGGCCCATCCAAGGATTGATACTGGAGAATTTGTATATGTAGTTAACAATATTTCTTAGTAACTTAAAATACGGCTGTGTGATCCCGGCACAGAATAGGCCATCCATCCCTTCCCCGTGGGTGTTGTAAGAGGCGACTAACGGAGCTTAATGGTTGAGGGATTGGCAGCAGAGTTCTTCTTAAAACACTACCTAACTGCGGTTGCCAACCCGCCTGTCAAGTGTGGCAACTACTTCAAAAACCTGCCAAAGAGGAGACCTATGTTCAACAGTGAACGGTTAACGGCTGATATCATCAGTCTAAAATAATTTCATTATAAAAAATGCATTTATTAAGGTAATTAATTAAAAACAGGCTATCAACTTCATGAGAAACGATGAAGAAATAGTCGATCGATAGATAATTATACAAATTTTCTATTATAGTTAAAGTATTTTACGAAAAAGAATTTATCTCTCAAACGACTACATGTCTTGTATTCGTTAACTCATCAGAATACATATCTGGGTAACGTACCAGCATTATGTTGACCCAGCGCCTGTGTCCAACTCCAGTCGGGATCACCCAATGCACGGGGGGAGACGCAGTCGAGACGCACTGTACTGTCGGGGTATACGAACAATTCGCCAGATGGCTCCACAACCGCTGATCCACTGACCACTGTGTATTGTATAGTGGGTGGGGCGTCGCCTGTATAAACCAAGGCTTATATAAATTATTTATGTTAATCTCACTTACATAATTAACTTTTGATTTAGTTTATTTGGGATAACAACAGCGTTTTGCATTATTAATTATATGCTACACCATTACTAAATGTTAGCTAATTACAATTACCCATAGCATAATGCATAGGCACCCGTTAAGCAAACAAAACAATATAATGCTACAGTAACAATAATGATATGAGTTAAATTTAAATAGATTAACTTTAAAATCTTGTCGAGTACACAAAACTTGTCAGGCAACCTGGAATTTGATATTTGAATAAAGCTGCTATCTTATTAAAATAAATTTTTAAGTTTGTAACAACGTTTATTATATAATGATGTTTTTAACAATGTTTATATTTTAACAACTGAAAAGTTTGAATGAAATTTGATATACCGACAAACCATAATCTGGTAGCATCACATCCTAAATATACGAAAAAACGAATGATATAAGATTAATTCTACATTTACCTATATCAAAATGAAAATACTTGTCATACCCGTGAAATTAGTAACAACAGTTGTCGGCACACATTCTGGTATTTTCGGAGTCCATTCTCCATTCTCACAGCGCAGTAAACTCTCGCCTTTCAGTTTGTACAGCCCATAATGTTTACATCTCGCCACAATTGTTGAACCGTGGGGAAAGTGGGTGTCTTTCTGGAATTTTACATCATTTTAAACATTTAAGATTTAATATCTATTATAAATATTTATTTCTACTCACAACATTAGAGAATATTTTAAAAATTCATAATGAACAAGATATATTGCTGTAGATATACTTTTATAATAAATATTGGATATGTTACTTACATCAATAGACGAATTTTTGAAAGATATCGACAAACGTGGATGGTCATTTTTATAAAGACATTCTCTCAACACGGGTTGGAATCTGCCGTCTGAAAATAATTTTTGCATTTTATTACTACTTGTTGTTTTAATTTGACTTGCAGCTTGATTTTTTTAAATTACGAATATGTTGTCATTTTATCACTAACATAATCTATTTATAAACTATAATAATGGAGATATATGTTCAATTAATGAGAATAAAATGACAGTATAAAGAACTAATTTTCATATAATAGTTTCACGAAGGAATCTTACACAGGGTAACTTTTGAGTGAAGGCGGGGGCGGGGAGCTACCGAAGTTCCAAACATTCATTCCGTTCTTGCCAAAGGTATATGCATTTATACTTAGCCGATTATTTTTAAGAGACTTAAAAAATTTGTTTAAAGGTATTATTTCTAATATGCTAATTATAGCCGTTATAACTTAAGTTTCCGAATCACTTTGTAAAGGAATTACATACTGTAACTTTTAGGCTAGTCTTAGCAGAACACTCTGAACCCCTGAAAATAATAGATATAAAAAGAAATATAAAAATTTAGAAAAAATTTTTTAGAATTTATCAATACCCATTAGAACCAATTAGTATGCACAGTGTGTCCGAAGATAGACCCATCTTGTGTAGTATATGCCTTATTGGCATATGTCAATAAATATGTATAATAAATATTGTAAAACTGTACAAACCTGGTGTACTAGAACAGAGTGGACCAACCCAATTACCATCTATACATTTGATCTTGCATATCAACCTCTCATTTAATGGACCAATAAGTCCAGGAAATTTCACCTGTAAAAGGAAAATTATAGTTGCATCACCAGTAACAAATACTGTATTATATTATGTGACAGTAATAGGCAAGACATTGAGACTTGTGCTGGTTTTTTTTAAGAGACAAAGTAATCCAGTGTAATTGTATTCCTGCTATTGAGTTATACTATAGAACCACTAATAAGAGACAATAGATGAGGAAAAAGGCAAGTGAATTATTAAGGCTTATGGTAATGAATTTACCCAATTATCTACAAAATTTAACATGAATTATTTACAATGGATTCTAAAGGGGACTATGGGGAAGTCAACCTGACAAGGTATATCAACAGTCACTAATACTCCACTCCCCCTGATCCTACTCCTGATGACATTTTATAATATAGATGGAGAATAGGTTATTATTATAATATAACAACTAGAAAATACAATCCCGGGATCCCGAATGAATAATGAACATAGAATTTTGGTAGAAGTTTGAAATAAGAATAATATTAAAACTTGTATTACAATTGATTAACAATGACATAATTTTATTTTTTGCATCGGTGGTCAATTAAAAATTATTTTTAACTATTTATTTTAATTTATACAATAAAGTTATATATAATTACTATAGCTGCATATGTAATGGCCCATTACCTTTGTCATTCAGTATCTTGGAACTGCAATTACACCTTTAATGATGCTTTAAAAGGGATGCTGCTGCTCATTCCTAGACTATAAGTTCCCTTAATCACCTCTTACAACACTCATGAGAAAGGGAAGGGTGGCACATTCTATGCTGGGACTTACATGGCATACAACGACAACAAACTATTGCTAGCAATATATACTATCAAGTCAACCTCTATTTATCAGTATAGTAATTTTTAAAGGAGCTTGACCACTTAATAAAAGCGTATTGTGGTCTTAAACATTTTTTAGAACATTTCCGAAAGCTCCAGTCTCATCCTGAGGTGAGCATCAGACAATTTTAGGTTGAAAGCTTTTAGTCCCTGATTAAATATATCTATGCTTCCATAGGTCAAATGAGTTGAATTCATCTTCATTGGGACCCTGACAGCATACATCAAAAGCACAGGTGGGTTCTCATTTTACATATCAAATAATCAGTGTTGTATTATGATGAACATTTATGTCTCGTACCTAATGAATTAAATTATATTGTAAAAATAACTTACCTCTGATATTTTAGAAAAATCCGATCTAAACCTTGTTATGTCTAAATTAACGTCAATACTGGTAACATCGGGCAAGGAACATTTAAAATCGTCTGTAAAATAATTGTAATTTATGTTATATGATATTCCTATTGATACGTGGTGGATTGTCCGATTATAAATTAAGGAGAATATATTAAAAATCTTACCTTGCGGAAATGTCGTGTTTTCTTCACTATCACAAATACTAAATGGTATAATTATTTCAATTATAAATAGAAAAAACACCTTATTGAAAGACATTTCGCTGCGTTGTTTACCAAATAGTATTGTAGTGTTCATTTCAACATTTTTGTACCGAATCATTCATTATTTATTTAGAACAAATTAAAAGCAAATTACAATATGTAAACCTAAAATGTAAACATAACTACAACGAACAAAAGTACTGGTATTAGGTACTTGATATAGAAAAAGAGTATGTCTCAGATGTATAGGATGGATTTATAAATTCAATAGTATTGTATTTATTTTACAGGCACTAAATTGAAATATTATAACTAAAATTGTAAATATTATTTAGGTAGTTCAAAGCACATAACTATTTGAGGAAATGTCAAAATCGATATAGATGTTACCATTACTAATAATTCTCAATTAAAAATTTATATTGTATACCCATAACAATAAAAAAACAAAATTATGTACTCCGTGTCTATAGTAGACAAATGAACAAATTTTTTTACAATAAATAGACAATAGAGGCTGTTTAAAATAAACCTATTGAGATAAGTTGATAATTATAGTTTTTTATAAAACAGAAAATTAAAAACAAATTACTAGATAATATAAAAAATACGGTACTTTCACTTAAATTTAATAGAATTAATAAATAATAATATATATAAAACAAACAAGTATATTTATAAACAGAGGCCAAAGCCTTTTGTTGGATAGGATACTTAAAAGTTTTATTTATTTTTACTTTTCTTTAAAGGCCTGTATAAAAGCCAAAAATAACCATTTCGAATACATTATTTTTTTATTTTTTGCTGAAACTAATAAATATGTAGTATAAATTTTAGTAATATTACATTAATTCATAAAAAAAGATTAATTTTTATTTGTAACAGAACTTATGGCTGGACTACATAGGTATATAATGTATGCTTTAAATGTATAGACATATAAATGTATAGACTGTTTCCTGCACGTAATCGACTTTGTGTGAATTTGAAATTTTAAACTCTTTGACATATTACTTTGATTATTTACCTATATAATGTAGTGATAGATATAAGATTTGAATTTACAATTCTTTATAATGTCGGGAGAATGGATTTGTATCTAGAACCGTGAAACACGTCAATAAAATAAAATAAGAAATGTCAATTTTCAATAAAAAAAAAATGTCATAACAAAATCCGGCTTTGATTATTAATTGCTTCTGGTGTTTTCTTTCCCCTTTTCCAGTAATTGTGCTTGAATAAATATAAACATTCTTTTTAAAATAATGCGTTATTCTGTATTGATTCTATTTCTATGTTTCATTACATTTAATAGTTCTACTTGCTATGAAGATATGTTTCCTTACAAATGGCCTACAATCGGTATATCGGTACTCATTCGCAATAAAGGACACACATTACCCTATTTCTTGACGTGTCTTTATAATTTAGACTATCCCAAGGACCGTCTTTATCTTTGGTAAGCTAATTTGAATTATGTACATACTTACCTGTTTTATATCTACACAAATTTTAACTCTAGAACCTATTCCAATTGTCTATCATTTTTAGAACAGTTTTCATGACTAAAATATTAATTTATCATCCATACAGTATCAACAGGGTTTCATATATGAATACCAGTTAATGATAGAAAATGGAATGGTAACTCTGCACTTTTTGTTTACCTTGGCTGGATACTGTAAAGGACAAGTGAGAATTGACTAGAAAAGAACTCCTGGTCAGTGGATACCCTTAGGAGCGGTTGTTTGAGTTGCGGTGTATGGTAGGAGCACTATTGAGAAGCTTAAAAAAATAAAAATTGAATAAATAATTTTTTTACAAACAAATTGGGACTTAAAATTTTTTACTGATTTTTTTAAGTTGAGATAACCTCCCTTTTTATGCTTATTGGATAGGGTTCCTCGAGAGGATCAACTTAGGTTATGGGACATTTTTATGTGTAATGCTCTGTTTATGAGATATATAGATTTTGCTGTACCATTGTAGCTACAGGTGCACAGAACTTTTAATGTCGCAATTTTGATAATTTTTTTTTATGTCGCAACAACTGCACTTTTATGCACCCATAGGATAGGGCTCCTTGAGTAGATCAACTTTGGTCATGTGACATTTTTTCATCCGACACACTGTTACTGAGTTATAAGGGTCTAAATATTTCTAGGACTTAGAAAAATTTTGACAACTATCTCGATATCATGATAGCCCTCCCTTTTTATGCATCCATTGGATAGAGCTACTGGAGTGGATTAACTTTGGTCACATGACATTTTTACATGTGATGTTCCATTTCTGAGATATATTGATTTTGCAGTGCCATTGAAGCTAGGGGCACAGGGCAATGAAAAATTTAGATGAATTTTTTGTTGTTGCAATAACCTTACTTTTGTGTCCATCGGATAGGGTTCCTTAAGAGAATCAACTTTTATCCTATAATATATTTTCATGCACTACTCCGTTTCATATGTTATCCCATTAGGTTGATCTTCATTCTCTCCCCTCCCTGGTAAACTAACATGGCAATTTTCTGAACTTCAGTGAATTTGACATGATGATCCCACAGACTAGTCGTTGCCATTTCATGTTCACATATTAAAAAAAAAAACTATTTTGTAATATTCTTGGTGTTGTTCATGTCTAAGTAACAGTTATCAATTTACATGAAGTGGGTTTTCAGCTTGTTTGCTATTTAAGATCTTATGTCTTAAAACAGGATGTATAGTGATTACAATGAAGATGATAGTATAAAAATAATAGAAAAATGGGCAGAAAAATATGCATCAGAATACAATGGAGTTTATATAACAACAAATAGCAGTGGCCGTTTGCATCCTGATGAAAAATCAGCAACACATTGGAGCAAGGGCCGGTTCAAACATATCATTCGTTTGAGAGAAGAAAGTCTTGACTTTGCTAAGAAAATGTGGGCTGATTATCTTTTTGTAAGTATTAATTTTAGAATGCATTTATTAGTGTATCTTGTTTATTTGTCTTCCAAGGCCTGAATTTGAGGTCTTTAGAATGGTATAAAAAAGAAATATTTCTTTTTAATAAACTTGATCATAATAGTTTTTAAATACTATGTAGGTATAATTTAACTTAGTAAAAAAGTAATAACAAAGTAATATAAATGTACATAAATATTTCTTAAATATTATTAAACACATACTATCATTTGGCCTGTCTGACCCTAATTTATGAAGTATATTGACCTCAAAATTTAGAAGATGAATAGCAATCACAATTTTAGATTTTGGGTCATAGTCATTATAAAATAATAAATAATGAATGTTTATATTAAATATACAGTGTTAGGCATAGGGTTGTCAACTTTAGATTTTTTCACCATACAGAAGAATCATAAAAAAATGTTTATTTTACCTTGTAAATGAATAAGCATTAGGCTGTGGTATTTGTGATATAAATCATATTGTTAGTAATGGATAAACTCAAAAATTACTTAACCGATTTTAAAAATACTTTTACCTATAAAGAATTACATTATCAGCAAGAAATATAGGTAACATATTATAAATCATTGTATTAGATGTATTTGTAATTAGATAATTATAATTAGATATCATTATGAAAGTTTCAATAATGTAACATTAGGTATCAAAAATTTGGCTATTAAAGCTAATATAAAATAGGCAAAAATTTTTTTGTATGTCTGTCTGTATGCGAAATTGGAGCGGATCGCTATTAATATTATAAATGTGAAACTGAGTCTCTTAATAATTTCTTGGCACCTTAATGACTCAGTCTATTATAATGAATTTTGATATGGTCTACTATATAGGATAGTGAAGGACATAGGCTACTATTATTAGCTTCGGTCAATTGACATATCCAGAGCAAAATTGCGGTATAAAAATAATGTCATCATGAATTTTATTTCTAAATTTATTTTTATTAATACGATTGATAACCTTGTTTGATTAGCAGTATTCTCGCACATATTTTCTTATGCTTGGCGTAACCAATATTAATCTCATTTACAGATGGTTGATGCAGACGTTTTTCTCACAGAGAAGTCGACTCTTAAAGCACTTGTAAGCAAAAATATGACAGTGGTATCACCAATGCTCAAGTCTGATGGGCTCTATTCCAATTTTTGGTTAGCTACCTTCAAGTTTCTTTATCTTTGAATGCTTGAGCATGCAGATTTCACATAAGGTGCTTTTTATTATTTTTCCATTATTAATATTGTATTTTGTGTTAGTATATATATATTTTTTATTATTATAAATGCAAAATCTATGTCCATGTTATTTACTAATTAAATAATTAATGTAATATAAACACTATAAACGTATTATGACTATACCTTAGTATTTTTCTGTTCTTCTGTTAAGAAGGAACGTAGCTGAAATTCGAAATACAAAGTGGGATCCTAATATGATGGATGCCTAAATTGGTGCTTTTTATATACAGGTTTTCTAACTATCTAGCATTTATATAATGAATGACTTCAGTGTATACAGTGAAAAATAAAAAAAAAATAAATAAAATAATTAAACCAAATATTTATACTAACTTCAATAAGACATAAAACATAAAATATTTTTCAATCATTGCTAAGTTCTTAATCTAATCTTATTTAAAAGTTTATTTAAATAAACTTAGTTATCTATTTCTGCTATCAAGTAGCGCTATATTTTAACATTTTTAGTACACTGATCTTTTCTCTTTTGACGTATATTTAAATTGTAAAGATATATTTTTTTATATGTGGGTATTGCAGGTGTGGAATGACCGAAAAGTTTTATTATCAAAGAACTGAAGATTATGAACCAATTCTAAGTCGAGAGAAACAGGGCTGTTTCGAAGTGCCTATGGTGAATACTGCAGTGTTAGTTTCCCTTAGGAGAAAAGAGTCGGACCTTCTTACATATGATCCCAGGAAAGTAAATAACTACAAGGGTCCTGATGACGATATCATAGCATTTGCAATCAGCGCTAAAATTAATGGTATTTAAATTTATACTTTTTATCTGTTGTAGAGTTAGGATCAACAGTCGATGAATAGTACAGATTTGAAAAAAAACTATGCCTACATAAGTAATTCAACAAAATTAGGGCCAGAATTAGATAAATATTTTACTGAACTAAGTGTTATCTTGCGGAAGTCCATATCACTGGTTATTTAATTAGGTTATTTTGTTTAATTTCGCTAACATTAGTATGTGTGTGTGTGTGTGTGTGTTTGTCGATGGAATCGATATCGCTAGCGAGTCCGTGAGATAGAATGAGATAACATCCCCAGATGACTAATTCCAACTTATGAACTTGCTAGCGATGTCGATTCCATCGACAAATTCCCTTGCCACTTGTCTAGAGGCCTAGATAATTTATAAAGTTACCATCGATATTTGATCATAATTGGAAGTTGAATAACTTTTTGCAGATATAAGTCTCAACATATGTAACGACCGACCGTATGGGTTCATTCTTGTGCCTCTAGAGGAATCTGATGAAATATCAAAAGATTATGAGCAGTTGTTGAATATAAAGTTGGAAGCGGTGAGCCGTAAAGTGCCTTTGCCATTGGACAATTATTTAGAGGAATTTGTGTCGTATCCCAAACCTTGGAAGTTTAAGTGCAGTGAGATATATATGATTAATCTGGAAAGGCGAACGGAAAGGAGGGAGCTGATGGAGATGAGCTTCAAGGAGCTGGGTATAGATGCGAAGCTGTTCAAAGCAATTGATGGTATGAAGCTTGATTTGAATGATCTTCGGGAGTATTCGATCACCCTGATGCCGGGCTATGAGGATCCATATCATAAAAGGTAAATTTTTGTTTTTTATTGATACTTCACCAGTCTTCTGTTATAAATATATATTAAGTTTACCATATATAGTATAAAGTAAAAACTATCTAGTCTCGTTTAGTTTTTTTTTTACATGGGTGAAGATGGTATTTTGCACCTGTCTATGCTATCTAATGGTGTACAGGTCAATCATGATGCGGTTTCCTCTGGAAACAATCATTGTTAATTTTTAGCAAAATTGTCACAATGTCTATTTGACCTGACTTCTTATCCATCGTTTCTTCTACTACTGGTGTTCTGCCATTCTATTCCGTTAGTATAAGCGGATACTTAATTCCGTATTCATAAAGAAAAAACCCTTAAAATGTTGTTCGATTAAAAAATAAATTATTAATAATTTTTATTTGTTATTTTTAGACCGATGAAAGCTGGTGAGGTTGGATGTTTCCTCAGTCACTATTACATTTGGAAAGAGGTAAAATATATAGCTTGTATATATTCTATAAAATAAAAATGTCATTATTGTCTTTATTTTTTAAATTTCTTCAACTATTGCGTAATTGTTAATTACTCTGAATGAATAAATAAAAAAAAAAACTGATGTCTTCCTACAGATCGTTGAAAAGCATCATTCTACAGCACTAGTGCTCGAGGACGACGTGCATTTCATTCCATATTTTCGCCATAAATTCCTGCGGTTGCTCGATGAGATAAAAAATATAGACTGGGACCTTGTGTGAGTACTTTAGATTTTTATTGTTGCAATTCAGATAAACTTTATATGCACCTTTTTATAGTATTTCTTTAATGATTTCACGCTAGGTTCGTCTACGAAGTCTGTTAAAATTATGATTGCGAAAAATTGTACCGATGGATGGATGTCTGTTTGTTACTATTTCACGCAAAAACTATTGAATGGATTTGAATAAATTTGGTACACGGGTAGGTTATATTCTAACTAAACATATAGGTTAATTTTTGTACTTATTAACAGAGCAGATTGATAATAAATAATTTTTCAGTTCTCGAAAAACTTATTATTTATAGTGTGTTTCAATAAAAAGGTAATCAAATTTTGTTCATATTAACAAAGAAAAAAAAGCCTTCCCTATAAGGGGAGTTTGGCAGTAGTTGCCACGCTTAGCAGGCGGGTTGGCAATCGCAGTTTTCTTTTAGAGATGATTTAAGGACATGATTTTGCCCATCCCTCTGCCATTAAGTTCCTTTAGTCGCCTCTTATGACATCCACACGAAAGGAACGGGTAGTCTATTCTATGCCGAGACCATACGAACATACATACATACACAAATTTAATATGGATTTTCTCGATTCACAGCTATATAGGCAGGAAGATACTATTGAGAGCTGATGAGAAATACGTGACCGACCACACGACGCGCCCGCTGTATTCCTATTGGACCCTTGGATACCTGATAAGCGAGCGTGGCGCGAGGAAATTGCTGGATGCTCAACCGCTGTCCAAAATGCTGCCTGTAGATGAATTCCTTCCAATCATGTTCGACCAGCATCCTAAGTGAGTCTGTCTTCACACTAAGTGTTCATGGCCTAAGCATCTCTACGCCTTGGTTTCTACCAAGAACTATTACCTTTATATATATTTCTTGCTCCATCCTTTTTTGTAACTCATTCTACTTTAAGCAAGCTGTATATAAATTGACTTGCTTGAATGAATTGAGACAGTAGTGTTTGTTATTGTACATAGATTAACATTTGTATTTTATGCATATAGATGAAGCGTCGAATGTCATGTATGCTCCTATATACGAATTTATATTTCGAGTTATTTGTAATCGAAAAATGCACGTAATGTGCCGTCATTTTAATTATTTACATTTAGTTGTGTGTTACTTAAAAGCGTAGAGGGATTAATATTATTTTGTATTTTGCCACTTGATTACAAAATGCAGAGTTTGTTAGAGAAAAGTATATTATTTAACCTATCTAACGATTAGGAAGCAATTTTGTTACGTAATATAATGCTCTTTTTTAAAAATTAACAATCTTGTGCTTAAAGGAATAAATATTGTTATTGGTAACACCCCCTCCCCCCTTCAGCTATCCTGGCCCTAGTGTTGATGAAGTTATGAGTAAAGGCTAGTTTAATAAATCATTGGTCTAATTTTCAGTGATACATGGAAAGCCCACTTCTCAAATCGTAACTTGGTTGCACTGTCAGCCGCGCCGCTTCTCGTCTACCCAACCCACTATACAGGCGATGAAGGCTACATAAGTGACACTGAAGACTCCAATATCGTCGACCTGGGGGAACTAGACTACACTGTCAAGCACGAACTGTGAGGTGTCAGTTTATTTAATTCTTTATTATTTTTTTAGAGTCGGCAACGCAGATGTGACCTTTGTTGATGGGCAGTATGTGTGTTTACCACTATTCTGGTATACGAAAAATGTTTTTGTTTGCCCTAAGTCATACAAGTAGTGTACATACATTTTTTCGCTGAACCGTCGTCTGTATCTAATAGTGAGGACGGATCACTCGTGTCATTTACGTGACCCAAAACTAGAAAAAAGTCTTATAAGTATTTATTATAATTATTACTTTATAGTTTTAACTGTGATTCTTACAACACTTATTGCTCGACACAGCAATAATTGCGCTCATAAATAAACGTGCCATGAACTGCCATGAACCCATAAGTATTTTATATAACCAGGAAAAAAATATTAAGAATAAAAAAAGAAACAGTATGTATGTGATATACTAACACAACGACTTACTTACTTGATAAAATACCTATATAAATGCACAATGGAGTTTTTACGAACTTACTATGTTTGTCGTTTCAGACAAATTGTATTTTATTTTGACATGTATATAGACATCGTTCAAAAACGAACATTATATTTTAAAATTAGAATTGATAAAATACCTAAAATGTAATATGTTTTTAAACGGTTTTATTTAGCTTTCCATGTTATAGCTAAAAGTATATGCAACTATTCTTGCCTTGATATCTTCCTATATACATGCATGCGCTGAAAATACTGGCTATTGCCGAATGAAATATATTTTTAATAACGGTAATGTTTTTGTCATAAATATTGTCATTTAAAATGTTACAATATCTAACAATAAGTATTGCCATTGTATCATAATTTAATTGCCATATTTTTATTATTTGTATTTATTTAATTTTTTTTAAACTATCTTATTGTAAAAAATATTATAGTTCATATATCTATTTCATTTATCTTTATACTGATCCTAGTTTTATGAAAATTTGTATAATTCTTGTATGACGAGAGAAATTGTTTTTATTATAATTATCTTCAGTTTTTTAGTTTTACAATAAATGACTTTATTTTCTCAATTGATACCAAAAATATGTTAAGATTATAAATGAAATAAATTAATAGAAAAGACAAATTTGTTTTTATACATAAATACGAAAATTGTATATCTCTTCAATATTCTTTCATGAAGTATTTTTGTGAAAGGAATATCATAATTTTAATTATTACTGTAACTAAATGTTTATTTGTAAGGTTTGATTTTTGCATTTATACCCATTATAGAATAACTTTTATTTTGTATAGTCAATATACAACTCGATTCCTAACTATTGTCAGCAATCTACGAAACCTAATGTGCCATATTATATATTGTTAAATAAGTAAAAAAGATTTATTTAAATTATTAAAATATTGCAATAATCAATGAAGCCTTTCCATTGCCAATATGATTTTATCCATCACATTATGACACTTTATAAATTATTAATTTGAAACAGTATTAAAATTGCAGTCATAATTTATTATGACAAAGATTTTTTTAAAAATCATATGTATTTAAGGAGATACATAACGAAACGCTTAACCAAATATTTAGTTGTGATTTGGTCAGTGAAGTTGGTGCTGTAAATATGAAGGACAAGACAACCGCTTGTGTTATGGTAGTGAACTCAATGATTGAATCACTGTCGTCCAAGGTTTCGTGTACAAGAAATCCATGTGAGGAGCTGAAGCGCGCTGTGGTACAGTGCTATCAATGTAACACTCATGAATCGCTGAATTGTCACGAAAATGTTCAACAATTTCTTGAATGCTATCGTGTACATGCTATAAAACATTTGGAATGTTAAAAGGGGATTTATCGCGAGGTCATCTACTATATTTACAATTTGGAAAAAAAATCTGCGTTATCTAAGTCATTTACTTTCAATTGTATTTATTTTTTCAGGATTTTAATAAAATTACAGTATTTGTTAAAATGTTTATTATTCGTCAAATTCGTCACAATTTTAGAAAACTTGTTTCTTATTAAAATACTAGAAGAGTTTTCACATGTTAAAAAATTGCTATATTTTTTTGTCGGCCAATAACTGAGTTAGGAGTTCGACTATTGTTCTCGTGGGTCGGCCCGTCATTCCCCGGCCCAGGTAAGGGAAGTCGCGGCCTTTACTATAAGCAACGTTGTAAGTATCGAAATGAACCCATTTGCTATCGCAAACGAACTGCTTCAGGAATGCGGCGCAGTTCGGCGAGTCACCGTACTTCTGTAGTCCTGTGTTTGCCACGTCTGCAGTCTCGCAGTCTAATACACGGTCTTCATAAAATTTCCAAAGTGGCATTCTCCAGATTCTATCGCCCGTTTGGCTACTGGCTGATTCAGTGTAACAGAATAATTCCTCCGAGTTAGTATAACAAGCACATGCAGCGCCATCCAGAGAATCCACTAACTCCTTGGACATAGTACCAATATCAAGTATGAATTTCGGCCAATAATTTCTTGCATAAACCAAACTGTCAGCTATGAGAAGTCTGCCTTCTCTCGAGGGTAGTCTTACGTGTATTGTTTTACCGTTGGCGCTATTAACTACAGCACCAAATTTTGGACTGTTTGCGTTAGGCATTAGTTCGCATAATGGCAATATACCTCTAATGTTGATAGGTAATTTTAGTCTCGCAGCGGCTCTTGTTGTAGCTAAAACACATGCAGCTCCAGCCATGTCGCCTTTCATGTATTTTAAATCCTTCGGGTGTTTTAAGTCTAAGCTTCCGCTATCGAATGTTACTCCTTTACCTATAAGGACGACTGGCCTAGTATATTCATCAGCTCCAAAGTAACTTATTTCTACATACAGCGGAGGTTGTACTGATGATTTTCCTATAGCCACAAACCCACCCATTTCGCGACTCATTGCCCAACCCTGTGTTCTAACCTCTACATTTATGTCAAGTTCGCATAATAGATCTACAGCGATTTTTGCAAAAGAAGTTGGGTTTAATATGTTTGCAGGCATTTCTTGTAAGTATCTGGCTAAATTTTGGGCTTCCGCCTTCATTTTTCCTATTTTCCAGCCCAAAAAATCGCAGTCATCGTAAAGTTGAAGAGTTGATAATGGAAATTTCTGTCGTTGTGTAGAATGTCTATATTCTTGAAATTGCCACACAGACAGTTCAGCGCCTTCCGCCGCGGCTTCTGCATTGCCAAATGACTCTACATAAATAGTTTTAGGATTAAATGGACGTAGAGCTTTGGCTCCTACACCTGCAGCTATTCGTATCGCTTCTTTATTTTCATCCAACTGTTCAATAGGATTAAATGACATACATTCTGAACCAAGACCTGCTACTGCAACGTATGCAAACTCAGGATCTAAATCATAAAATATTCTGTGTTCACCTAATTTTGGTGTAGGTGTCAATTTTAATACTTCCCATAGTTTACCTCCTACTTTTTTGTTGTATTTTTCCGCACTAGCGGTAAGAATTGCTGCGTCGTTTTTCACATTTTCATTGTAATATATACCTAAGACTAATCCTTTATCTCGATGAGCACAAGCTTTGGCATCTTTAACTGTACGAGGAGGAGTGGCAGGTACATGATCACTTAGTGGAATCCTAAATTGTGATATTAGACGTACATATTTTGGATATAAATATATTGCACCGATACGAAAATCTAACATTATAAATTTTGTAAATAAACAGAATTTCAAAAATAATTGACTTTACAAAATGACTCCATAACCAACTAGTTTTAGATAATTTCACTTTTTATTAGAACAAATTTGTGACTCATTAAGATAACATAAGTAGTTTATATTACATAAATAAGTAATTCACAATATCACACAACATACATGTTCACAGTATTATTTAATTATCGCACAATATGTCTTTTGGAAAAGGTCAAGAAGTTTTCTTCTTAATCCAACTAGGAGTGTGGCGCTTAACCCACTCAGGTATATTTAAGAAGAGCGTTTCTTGCAACTGCCGATAAATAATGAGTATCAGAAAAGGGATGGCTAGTCTCTCGTCTTTAAAGAAATAAACCCAAAAAGCCAGGAGTAGTAGACACATATCCACCATGTAATCGATAGCAGATCTCACAGTTACTTTAGCTTTTTCTTCTAGTTCTTGATAATTTATAGGTATAACTATTGTCGCTCGTTCTGTTTTCTTCAAAACTATTTGTTGAGTACCTTTTTTATTGTGTGCTTCATCTATTTTGTTCGGTTTGTCTATTGCATTTCGTGTTGTTATTTTTTCTCGTTTTATTAATTTCGGTTTTTCAGTATTTGGTACTTGTTTAGTTTTAGGTTTGGTAGTGGAATTCACGATTTTGTTTTTCATTGTTGATGCCTTGACATCATTCATTTTGTTAGGTATCGCCTTTTTCGGTTTAACGATTTTCTTTTCCTTAATTGTTGTTTGTTCTATATGTTGTTGTTTTTCTGCAACATTCTTCAAGTCTTCCGTGTTTAAGTATAGAGGTGTAACAGGTTTCTTTTGACTTCCATATTCTTTTACAATATTCGTGTAATAATCTATTACGGTTCTTCCTTCCTCACTAATTTTGTCTTGAACTTTTTCTATTTTGTTAATTTTCTTTTTTGTGTCATTAGACAAATTTTGTTCTGGTAGTTTTTCGGGTTCCTTTTTAGAAAGTAATTTCGGAAATTGGAAAGGTTTTTGTACTGGCATTTTTGTAATTCTTTTGAATATCCTCATCTTATCATCTTTCTTTTGTTTTTCTTCTTTCATAGATATTTCTTCGAATTTAGGGTTTTCGCTTGAGTTTGGTGTCGTTGAATTAAGCGTAGGCTTAGTATCTGGTATGTCTAAGTCTCTTCGTTTCAATATTGGTTTGGGTACAAAGTTAGGATCGGGTAGCGGTAGAGGTTTTAGTATTTCCTTTTCCGATTCGTCTTCCTCTTCTTCTATAAATTCATTATGAGACGAAGGCCGTGATACTTTATCTCTTGGATTATAGGTATCTTCTTCATTTGAATATTGACTTCGTCTGTCTAAATCTCCTTCCAGACTGCCCTCTTCTGAATAATCTCCATCTGTTGATACAGTACTTGCTGTGTAATCTTCATCGAATGACATACTTTGTCGCCATCTATTTTCTGATGTTTCTGAGTCCTGGGAGGCTTGTCGCGAGTTGTATTTATATTCCCGGCCTTCAACAGAATCTGTTTTAATTATTATATTTGGCATTTTAAGTTTTGCCTGAATAGGTTCCATTAGTGGGTTCGAACTTTCATTATCGTCATATGTTTTATCGGTGCTACTGTTGTACGGAATGTTAGTATTGTGGTCGATTTTAGGTTTATCTTCTTTATTTTGTTTTGTTTGTTCTTCTTTCATAGCGACAGCTTTATAAAATCGTGCCATAGCTCTCTCATGTAGGAGTTCAGTGGAACTAACAGCATTGCGGAGGGCCTTAAAAGGCATAATGCAACGCGAGCTAAGCTCGGGTGCTGACAGAGAGATAGGTGGCGGAGATAGAGCATCTTCTAAGTCCAATTGGAACGACTTTCTCTTTTCTGAAAATTGAAAGTTTTGTATATTAGTGGAGACATTACATTAGTGTTAGGGTAGGTACCTATGTGAATTGTTGTGTTTCGGTTTGAATAATATGACAGTGAAATTACATGGGCACAGAGGATTTGCTAGCCATCAAGAATAACTATACGTGCGCGGTGCTCTGGGTGCCATGTGTACTCTGTTATAGTCGTTTATGGCGTTCTTCATGATCATAGGTGACAAATTCCGATATTCAATGGTTGGTTTCTCAATTCATTTCCCATTCCCAATTACATAAAAAACATTCGCTGTGATACAAATTGCTATTGTATATAAATTCAGATAAATCTTACAGATCGAGGGTTTGAAATGAATCAGTTATAAATTTCTTTTAACCTTGTACTGAATAAAGATTCCATTTAGTATTAATAGTGTTAAAAGAAATTCCAGTGCATTTATTATACTGAATTAAAATACAATTCGCATATCAGCTAGTTTTTATATAGAAATTCATATAAGTAGGTGTGTTGTATATTCGCATGAACTGCAACGTAGTTAACAATACACTTTTGTTAGTTTTGTTAGCCGGCGTTCTAAACAAGCAGGCGCGGTGTGCGTCCGGGATTATTTATAGGCCAAAAATGTGTGCGCAACCGTTCTGACGATATCCACAATTAGTTACCTTATACTCGACAATATTTAGACATTTTATTTTACGTTTTTATATAATAAGCTCTTACGTTTGACATTTTATATGTGATTAATGTATAAATTTCATTATCACATATATCCATTCTACTTATAATTTGTATTATATTTCATATTTTAATTCTAATCACGACAAGGTTTCGTGTTATGTTTATATTTAGTACAATCCAATGTAGAATTATTTATAACACTAAGAATGAAAATTATGAAAATCATTTTTACTTTTTTTTTATACAACTTAGAATGGGAAATAAGCTCATCAGGCAGGTGGGCCATCGCCGACCTGATGGAAAGTGGTAACCGTCGCCTATAGACATGAGCAGTATCATGGACATAACAGAGTATACTGTTTCGCCCATGATATCCCTCATGCGTTGCTATTCCTGAGGACTCAGGTGTTATTCCTCTGTACCCTGTAACTTCACGCCATATCCCACCCTTCAAACCGAAACACAGCCATGCAAACATAACTGCTTCACAGTAGAAACACGAATGGGACAGAGGTACCCAAGCAATCGACTTTTGTACAAAGTCTCCCTCCTCTCATTTGATTATTATTAAAAAGTAATATTTTTTATTCAAGCGTTTTTGAATAGTCTTTTTTTATGAATCTATCACCCATTCGGAATGCAATTTCAGCTAAGAGGAACGGGCAAAATATACTAATAAAATACTTAAAAAAATACAATTTCTTATGATCTAGAAAATTCTAAAGAACACTTGGTGTAACATAACACACGTCTTTTCAAATGTTCTTATTTTTTATTATAATGTTAGTATTCGTATAGGTTATGTTAATGTTATCTCTATTGTTAGTTATATTTACATGATTATTTTTAGTTTTGGTTCATATTTTCATGCTATTGATAGAATTATGGAAGGGTACGGCTATTGGTTTCTAGAAAATTATAAGAATAATTTTCTGATTTAGCTGCACGTGCTTTATTGAAAATGACATAATTCGCTTAGCAAAATTATATATTCTTATTCGCTTTGTTATAATGTTAAAAAAGATTTATATAATGTAAAAAGACTTATGTAATTAGTAGTAGTATTATAAAGTAATGCTTACCGGTTTTGTCATCTGATTTGTTGTCTGGATAAAGTACGAGCATGAATTCGCTGCTTCCGGCAGGATCTTTAGCCGGGGAGGTACGCAGCATACGCGCTGGTGGTGCTGCCTCTGGAGCAGCTGTTTGCGCTCGCTTGCGACGAGGAGCAGGCGATACTCGTGGCTCCTCTCCTTCTTCCCGTGTTAGCACTTCGTTAATAATACGAGACTCCACCGCTAAGAATTCCATGTCTACAGCTCTTCCTGGTATCTTGACTGGTGCCGACTCTGTACTTGGTGCACTCATGCCATATGGACTTTCGGCTTTCACGCGAAACCGATATTCACTCCCTTCAATTAGATCAAACAGCGTCACATTGGTTTTCCGACTCGTTGTGGCTTTCAGCCATACATTCCAACCGCTGCGGTAATACTCAACAACATAATTGCCAATGCGACACCCTCCATCGTCCTCCGGTGGCTCCCAATCTAGTGTGACTGATTTGTCAACTTGACGGGTGACAGATACACGCCTTGGTGGGTCTGGGGGTGCAGTTATGGTTACCAAAAACGCAGCGGTGTCCTCACCTATATTATTCCTGGCATGTATTTGGTATTCTCCTCGGTCGCTCCTTCGTGCAGAATGAATTTTTAGCACTGAGAATTTGGGGGAATTAGAAATTTCTACTCGTTCGTCTACAGCTATAGGCTGACCGTCGTGTCTCCATTCAATAGTTGGTGTAGGTTTTCCCACGATTGTTGTTTTCAAATATACAGTTTCGTTTATTTCGTATAATAAACCATCTTCGTATTGGCGTGGATAACGCAGTTTGGGTGCTGCTTCCAAAGCGAGGCGTGCTTTTGTGATTGCATGACCTGCCCGGTTGGTGGCGGTGCATTTTATTTCGCCTTCATCACTCGCTAGAGTCTGGTGGAACACGAGTATACTGCACGACTCTGTGGTCGTGATCGCTGTACGTCTGCTGCTGAATATCTCATAGTCGTCTTTAAACCAAGCGATGGTTGGTGTCGGTGCACCCGTGAAAGTAACACGGAACTCCGTTTTGTCATTCTCAAGTGCAGTGATATCGTTCAAATGCTCAATAAAAATGGGTGGTTCTTGAGCACCTCGTTCGAAGCTGACTGTGAGTACGTCAGACAATTCACTGTATTCGGAGCGACCAACGGCATTTAGAGCTGCAACACGGAATTGGTATCGATGTGGAGGCTCTAGACCACTGAGGACCAGCTCAGGTCGGACTACAACGGGTGGCGCGGTGCGGATCCAGTCCGAAGAGCCGAGCCTATTGCATTCTACTTGATAACCCTGTAGGGGGGCACCTCCATCGTGGGCTGCCGGCGCCCATTTTAACGTGATCGCATTCGGTTCATCGTCATTTAATATAGGAATAATATCCGGTTTCCCTGGTGTTGCCGGCCGCCCTGGAATGACACAATGTTAAAATTATGAAAAACTCTGGGTTATAGTTGATTTTAGTGGACTAATATTACAGATTGCCGATATGTCAAACATTTGGTCTCGATCGAGGATAACTGGCTGAATGTATAAAATCATTTGGCATAAAACTCTTAACAAAATTAGATGCGTGATAATCGTTACATGAACGCCGACGGTCTTACGATTTGTTTTGTTGTGCCACGCTTTAGGAATCGCAGCGCGCAGTCTTTTTAAAAATAGAAATGTAGACAGGGGCCTCGGTGCGTGTATGACAGACGTCGTAGGAGTGAAGCGATGAGTTGGTGTTGTTGTCAGATATAAGGATTGTTACCTGCGGATTTCCAGTGCACGTTCTTCCTGGGCTTGAGAGAGGTGTGTGAGGCTGAATGTTGGTTGCCCATGGCGGCGGCGGCGCGCGCCGACACACTGATCTCAGGTCCCGCTCGCCCGCGCCCCCGCGCTGTCCGCTGCCCGCGCTTGGAATAACTCCGCGCAGCCGCCGACTCCCCGGATGCGATCTTGATATGTTTGATCGATACATTTCATTAATGATTACCGGTAGGTTACGACCTTTGGCGCGACTATCGATCTATGATGATCATAAATCTAAACAAAAACAAGCTTTGCCAAATATAATTCTTACGATAATAGGTGCTTATTGATTTGTAAAAAATAATATAATGATAGATTAGTTTAATCACACGATTTTTACTGATGTTTTCAATAATGGAAAATTTTAAATCAATAAAATGAAATGCCAATTTAATTTTTATTTTCTATACGTACATATTGCGCCATCTATTATTGGATATAAAAAGCTTAAAGTGGAAATCATTTGCTAGAAAAAGGTTCGAATCTTACAGTACAGAGACAGTAACAAAATAATACATGATTCTTTTGTTTACCGTAAGATGACACAGTAAACATTTTTTTAATTTAGCTTAATAATAGCTAGCTATTAAACTAGGTGGTGTTAGTAGTGTCTTTTGTTTTGCCTTGCCCAACCTTCAATAAAAAGAAGATAAAGATTTCCAAAGGTATATATTTACAACCTGGCATATCGGGGGGAAAGGCATTGTTAGCAATGGAATTTGACAGCCCCATTGCCAGTAATACACCCTATTAGGTCAACCTCAACGTGTAATTAATTCTTGTGAAATTTGTTGCGATAGACTAACCGAAATGCTTACATCCTCACCCATCATAATTTACTAGTGCCCTACCAGCGTATACCGATAACGCAGACGGGGTAACATTTCATTGCCACTTATTAAAGAAAAGCTGTACCTCTAAAAGTCTAAAGTATTGTCAGTCCTAAAATTAGGGAGTTATTTATCTATTTAAATAATTGTATGATTACATTAAACTAAAGTACAGTCATACAAACACAGCTACTTGGCGACAAGAATACGGGAGATTTGGAAAAATGGGTAACATGACAGATAAAGTAACAGACAAACTGACTGCCCCCTAGATAGAAATGGGTAACCGTTGCTTATAGACATGAACAACACTATGGGCATTACAGATGCATTTCCATTCCTGAGGAGTATGATGTCTTTTCTCCATACCCTGTAATTTCACTGCCATAATGCACTTCAAATCACAGCCATACAAACATAACTGCTTCACGTCAGAAACACTGGCGGAATAGATGTACCCATGAAGAGGATTTTGTACAGTCTCCCTCTGATAAAACATACAAACTTTTCATATTATTATAGTTTTACTAGTGACCCGCCCCGACTTCGCACGGGTGCAATATTTGTTTGTGTAACTTTTAAACTGTTCGACACATTTTAATAAGGCTGGTATTTTGACGTGTGTGAAAATATTGCATTAATATTCTTTAAGATTTTAAAATGAACGGCTAGTGTATTTATTTTAATTTTAACATAAAACCCATCTATTTGGCTGAGATGTTAAACTCAGATATATGGTGTCGTGGTATTTTTGTAAAGCTAAAAGTAATGAATATTTTGCCTATAGATTTTATTTCTTTATTTCAAAGCGTTCAGGCAGTGCAAGGTATATTATAGAATTTTATGCCGACTTCGATTACATTTATTGTGATTAATTATTGAAAATATATATTTACCAAAATAAAGGGAATCTATAGCACTCGGATGACATATCTTTAACTAACAGTTAAATAATTTTCAAAATTGGGTCAGTAGTACCGGAGATTAATCGAACATCCAAACTCGGAAACTTTACTGTTTATAATATTAGTATAGATAACTAGTGACTACTCTGGCTTTGTACGGGTAGTAGAAGATGGAAGAATGTCCATGTAGTAGGGCATATATGCTTACATTTTTCGTATTAGCATTTTACGTCAAGTATGAATTACATGTGTATAGTAAAGCAACCCAGAAATGACAGACGTATGCCAATGCGCACTTTTTCATAGATCTACAAAAAGAAACAGTCGTATCATATAATGTTTTGTTATATCTCAAACGGATTACGCAGCGTTTTTGATGAATTTATTTCCCAGAAGGATTAATTATTTTCTCTTCTTGCATCTTCCAATAATCATCATATTTCAATTAATTTACACAAAACTTAAACGAATTGTATACGAGTACCTTCTTTAGGAATCACTCTGTTGATAAATGGAAACCGCATGGAAATCCGTTCAGTAGTTTTTGAGATCATAGTGAACATACAGACAGACGCGTAGGGGTATATAATATCTATAGTGATACAAACTAGTAATACAAAACATTTTGTGAAGCGGCAGAGAAGAGCTTTTGCGTCAAAATTAACAATGACGCTAAGACAGTCCGTGACCTAATAGTTGTTTTTTCAACTCGAAATGTTGTTTTCTTAATAAATATGTTTCGATTGCTCTGAATTTAAAAACGAGCCATGTGTTTTCAGTGGGCCAACTCGCATACCTACTTATAAGTCACAGATAGAATTTATTGTATGTTGACACACACGTTTCGTAATTCATCAATCACGGATCTAGGCTAGTGTAAAATAGTGTGACATGTTATTAAGTCCAATTATTACGTACTTGTCTATCAGCGTAAATAAGATTTTTCTTAAATGAGTACAGCCGGTTAGTACTGATTGTTATCTTATTATCCTTTGAATACATACAATTTATGGAAATTGAATATATTTAGGAAAAGATAGTAAGTAAGTTTTCATGAACATCTTGAATACTGTTTTTATTATAAAGGAATAACTTGCTTACCTAAAAAATAATTAAATCGAAAAAAGAATAGAATAATTTACGAAATTCTTAACGAACTAGCTTTTGCCCGTGACTTTGTCTACGTAATCAAAATATTTTTACTAACCAGGATAAGAAGTAGCCTTAATTCTTCTTTATCCCATATAGTACGTGTATACTAAATTGCATATTGATTATTAAAGTCGTTAAGGCTCTAAAAAGTAACAAACAAAAAAAAACCCACTGTTACATTTAAATATTATATCAATAAGTATCATCGATTACAAATTGTCTGGAGGTGGTGGCCTGGTGGTTGTAGCACAGGTTTTCCTAGTTCAGCCATCAGTTTCCACAATACATACACTGAGTATTCTTAAGTAAATAGTTTGTTCATACAGTATTGTGGAGAATGAATAAATATTTAGAATTTTTAAAAAAAAAACCTTTAAAGAAAAGGAAAAGAAAAGTCTCTCTGTTGAGACCAAAAGATTCAAGAATAAAGATTGTTTTAGGTTGGCATTTGGTGATTTTGGTGTATTTATTAGATCTAGAGTTTGGGTTGGAGTCACAACTCTAAATAATAGTTTTGTTGTTTTTTATAAGCCACTCGTGTCTATTCTGATACGCCCACGGCTAAACGTAAAACATTTCAATGTACAACATTAACTGAATATATTTGGATATCCATCAACACTTTTTTTTTGTAATTCGATTTTATTTCACAAGTGTAGGGGTGGCATTGGTTTTAATTTATTGTGTAGTTAAAATGAGAAAATTTATTACAGCCAATTGTACAGTTTAGTACATTATACTTAGTGTAGCGGTTTGATATACCGCCTCACCTTCCGATAATTGTGGGTTTGGTCTTCCGCATAATGCAAATATATGTATTCAATGTATGAAAATGTGAAAACTCCAGAAGATCTAGCAAAAACATCTTCGATAGTACATTTTAAGGGGCCAGTTGTACCTGGAAAATAATTTTAAATATGCATTGCCTTGTAGAAACAATACATTGTAACTTAAGTCACAGTATTTTATCATAATAGAGTCTAAATGAATTTTCGGAACCGGTTATGTGGAATACATTCCATTCATTCTTACTTTATTAATTTGTATATGAAGCAAATACAAGTACTACTTTATTCAGATGGGCCGTCAATTTGTTTGCCATTCTAAGTTAAAAAGTGTATTTGATTCCAAAATGATGCTGTATCTTTATAAATACGTCGTTCACGATACGTCGAAAACTTAAGTTGCAAGGTAGCGACTAAAATTGTAGTGTCTTGCCACGTTAGCGTTACTGCTGTGCTACGTTGTTATTCGTAAGTGCGAGCAAGATAGATATATTGCTTAAGTCTTTTCATCTTTGAGTGAAGTTGTAACTCATCGAGATCTGGAAACTTCTGCCTTTAGAAGAATTTATTATGTATTTAATGGAGCAAAAGATTCCGATCAGGTTATGACTGATTAGAACCAAGTCCTTTTTTTTTTATTCCAAACTATTTAAAAATATATGTTACAGTGCAAAAGTATAATAACTATAATAAATTTTTAATTAATAAATTTAGCATTGATTAGCAGTAAGATTTTTCAGATCTTCCTATGGTTTGAGATCAATATCTCGGTTGTCCCAGTCCAACCAATTTGACATCCATACTACATGGTTAATTGAAAGAAGTGGCATCGACCAACAGCAAAGCTTTTTAGCTCTGGCTATGAATTCCAATCACCAAATAGAATGCTCTGTTATTTCTGCACAAGATTCACCCTGGTTTCATAATATGGAAGATCAAAATATGACGCCGTCTGAGAATAGTTTTATTTAACAGATTGTCACTTCATCCATCACAACTGAATAAAATGAAGAAGTTTTACCAATGAAATAGAAAAACAAATCTCACAGAAAGACATGTTTTACTGCACTTTTGTAATTGCAGAAAGAAATGTGTAGAGAACGTACCTGAAGATGTAAGAAAAGATACTTACCATACCAGTATTGGAGCTTAGAGAGGCGACGCAACTTTTTATCCAGACATGTAGCCAATTTTAATTAAAATTAAAATTATAATGGCCATTATAATTAAAACTATGGAAAATGAATGATTATCAAGTGTGCAATTTTACACATTAAGATATACAAATGGCGAAGCAGTCATTTCGGTATAGAAAGGAATTTGTGATTAAATGAATCTCTAACATAATTTATGATAGCAATACACTGTAATAGTAATTTATTTTTATCAGATAACACTACCATGACAAATTTTCGTCGATAATTTATTATTTTTTTATAATAAAGATATA